ACACACAGAAGCTTTTACACACAGACGCTTTTACACACAAAACCTTTTACACACAAAACCTTTTACTCACAAACGCTCTTACACACAAACACTTTACACTTTTACACACAAAGACTTTTACACACAAACGCTTTTACACACAGAAGCTTTTACACACAGACGCTTTTACACACAAAACCTTTTACACACAAAACCTTTTACTCACAAACGCTCTTACACACAAACACTTTACACTTTTACACACAAAGACTTTTACACACAAACGCTTTTACACACAGAAGCTTTTACACACAGACGCTTTTACACACAAAACCTTTTACACACAAAACCTTTTACTCACAAACGCTCTTACACACAAACACTTTTACACACAAAGACTTTTACACACAGACGCTTTTACACACAGAAGCTTTTACACACAGACCCTTTTACACACAGACGCTTTTACATGCAGCACACAGAAGCTTTTTCACAGACGCATTTACACCCAGAAGAAATCACCTCAGTTTTTGGCGATCGAACCTCATTTCGTGCGAAAGGGTTGTACCGGATAACGTAGAAATCGCAAATTTACCTCAGTTTTTGGCGGTCGAACCTCATTTCGTACGAAAGGGTTCCGACAGGAACCCGCAAATCGCAATTTTACCTCAGTTTTTGACGATCGAACCTCATTTCGTGCGAAAGGTTTGCGCGGAACGACTTGAACTCGCAATGTTATTTCAGTTTTTGGTGATCGAACCTCATTTCGTGCGAAAGGGTTGTGCCGGACAATTTAAAATCGCAATTTTACATCAATTTTTGGCGATCGAACCTCATTTCGTGCGAAAGGGTTGCTACGAAAACCCGGAAATCGCAATTTTACCTCAGTTTTTGGCGATCGAATTTCATTTCGTGCGAAAGCGTTGCGCGGGACGACTTGCAAATCGCAATTCTACATCAGTTTTTGGCGATCGAACTTCATTTCGTGCGAAAGGGTTGCGTTTCGTGCCGTGTCGTTGGCACTGCCCCGCGCCTTCAAGAGAGAAATAGAAAAAAAGGAGAGGGCAAGAGGGCAAGAGGAGAAGATGTGAAGATGTAAGGGCAAGAGGGCAAAAGGGCAAGAGGAGAAGGTGTGAAGGTGTGAAGATGTGAGGATGTGAAGATGTGAGGATGAGAAAATGTGAAGATGAGTAGATGTGAAGATGTGAAGATATGACGATGAGCAGATGTGAAGATGAGAAGATGTGAAGATGAGAAGATGTGAGGATGTGAACATGTGAAGATGTGAAGATGAGCACATAAGAAGGTGAAGATGAGAAGATCTAAGGATGAGAAGATGTGAAGATGTGAGGATGAGAAGATGTGAAGATGAGAAGATGTGAGGATGAGAAGAGAAGATGTGAAGAGGAGAAGATGTGAGGATGAGAAAATGTGAAGATGAGAAGATGTGAAGATGAGAAGATGTGAGGATAAGAAGATGTGAAGATGAGAAGACGTGAAGATGGGAAGATGAGATACAGACCTTCACTATTGGAAGAACCCTGCGCTCAGACGCTCTCGGGAAAAAAATCGAAAGCTAAAATCTTAGGAAATTAGAACCAAAAAACGCATCCATTGTCGCTTGCCATCCTGCAGGCGCATTAATTTTTTAATCCTATAGGCCTTGTAATTTTGAAGCTTCCGCCCGCGGCTTGCAAATAATTTACAAAGTCATAAGAAGGAGCAGGCCGGATCTGGTTTTATATTCCACGGATTATATTTTTCAATCTTTGCATATAAATAATATTTATTCAAGATCAATATATTTTGTTCGAGACTTCTCCTTGCACCTGCTTTTCAAAGAAGTTCCGAAAGGAAACCTGGCCAGGTGCTCAAACCTAAACAACTGCAGTGGCTAAGAAACTTCACCTTTCCCGCCTTTGTCGCAATCATGTCTGAGATCTCCAGGTGCTGCACCTAAGGTTGAACCTATTGCAACCTGATGCCTTACCGGCTTTTCAGCATCTGGTTTTAATCTTGACATTCAGAACATAGTTACTGGTGAGATTTTAACTAACAGGGCCACTCGAGTTGCAACGCAGTCGAACGAGGATCTTTGAGAATTGCACCAAGATCCCTCGCTTCTTGCAAGGTTCTCGCTGCCTGTCTTCATTGAAAGAGCAGAGGTTCTGATAAGCTTCCCAGCGACAAATAAGCAATTGGGCACTGGTTCACCGGCAAAACACGATTGCAAGGGAACTAACATCTAGGAAATCTTAAGCTTCAACGCGAAGAAGAAAGCGATGCGGGCTGTGCACAAATTCTTTTGCTTCCAGATGAATTTTGAAATCAGGAATTGCTGGCTTCAAAACCCTTCAAAGCAGTGGTATGACAATTGCCGAAAATACGACGAGTGGAAAGTTGATTTGTAAGGTGTGTGAAATGAAGCTAGATGATCTTCGACATTTTTTGTGCAGTAGACTGTCATGCCACAAACGTGCATTTTGACAACTAGGCCGTTGGACTGGTGATCCACTTGGATCTTAATGGCAAGTAAAAAATTGCTGTACAACGAAATTCCATGCATTCAATCGTAGATGTTCACCACGCCTTATGCAAAGCCAAAACCAAATTGACTCCTCGCTGATTATTGAATGGCCTGAAGGTTTGATGCCCATATGCCCATTTTTGAGCAAAATGGCTGCAACCCAGAAAACCACAGTTTCAAGCTGCCGGACGCCGAATACTATGTCGGGCTGAATGCATTTGAGGCGCGTCAATAGTTCCAACGCCCGTGCCAGGCGGAGCGTAAATCCAACATTCGCTATCAGGCCTTGGATTCTGCTATCTCACAGTTGCACAACCTCCGAACCAACATGAGGCAACCATTAATCAACAATTACTATAATTCTTCATGTTGTTATGGAAGCTTTCAGAAAAGCCTCAACCTCTTTCCTCCAAGTAGCGAAACTTTCACCGCCTGGATCCCCTCGGCGCGTGTCCAGACTTCGCAGCGTCCAAAGGAAGAGGCGTACTCGATCCCTGAAAGGGGAACAAAAATGAACCAAAATTAAAACCAGTTTCCCTGTGCATCCCCAGTTCAACTGTTTTCACCAACACCCTATGAAAACAGATCTACCCATGAACAATCTCACAAGGCTTTTAAATGGCTACAAGGGATTTGAGGCATGAAGGGACTTCAAGAATCGGACTCCAAACCAGGCCTTTGCAGTCGGATATTTCCACACATTGTGATTTGCAGCCCTCCAGTGTTGATGTCCAATACACAGAAAAATACTCAGCACGATTGTCGTAGATGGTGCCACCTCGACACACCCTATCTTGTGTCGGGCCACCATCAAGCCCTTCAAAATACATCCTGGTGGGTTCAAGAAATCAAGAAATCTGGCCATCTTATGCCATCTTCAAATGTCTTTGGCCTTGGACAAGAAACGTCAATGGAAATACATAAAACTTGAGATGGCAGGGTTTTCAAGGCCCAGCGTCAGTCGATGCGGCATCAAGGTGGTCGTGATGTTCGGAAGAGTGGAGCCAGCACTGGGATCCACATATCGCCAGCACTCGAAACCATCCATTGAGTTGCTAGCAAGAATTCCACCCTCGCGAAGCCAGATTTCACAACGCCCAGAGGCGATGGCAAATTCGATGCCTGTGTCAGGGTGCGGCTGCGGATTTTTATGATCTATCTGCCTTACTCATGAGCACTGGTTAATGATGTTCAGGAATGGACATGTTGACACAATCGCATGCAAAAAGAACATAAAAGAACGGCATTAAGAGTATATGCAAGAAAGAGTTCGATCTGAAAGCCACGCCTTTACATCCAGGATAGTCGCGGCAAAGCTGCTTGCATTGATCCGTGGAGTTTGCCACTCGAACGGTGAAATAGATATTGGCGTTGTCAGTGGGGGTGAGGCCCCGACACACTCGGCCTATGGCACCATCCACTGCCTGAAAATGAGGTTCATTGGTGCAGGGTGGTGGGCAACTTCCCAGCACTGTATGGAGCAATGCCTGAAACTCATCCTTGGCAGTTCGCAAAGTTGCTCTTCACATCTCTCCGCTAAATATTTTGAAAGAAGTGGCGCACCCATCATATGAGATGTGTGTGTGTGCCCGCCATGACCAGCGTCTAAGGTGAACCCGGCGCACAGTTCTGACGCGAAACTTTCATGATACCCAAGCTTAAGCAGACCTCTTGGTTTGTCTATTGGGAAAAGTTGGGAAAGAAAATGGCAACATCTTTTCGTTGCCATGTGGCAGCGGAAGAGTTGTGAGAAAGCCCAGGGTACCACGCAGGTTCTTGAAAGATTCCAACTTGCATCGCCCATTTCAGATCTTCCATGCACGTATCACCTTAGAATGGGGAATCAGCAGGTTTTCTGACAAATCAAATCCCAAGAAGCAAGCATAAACATCAGCATCCAGTGAATGTTTCGTTTACAAACACGACATTTCAACAAATCACAGATTGGTTGAAAAATACTGACACCTCGGACGAAGAAATTTAAATGCGGCTTAGGTCGCTTAAATTCTGACATGTAGTTTGGATCCCGCCGCTGTAGTTCGGGACTGGAGGAGGATCAATCTCACCATCTGGACATGACACGACCTGGCCGGGACCAGGATGATGCCAACCCCGCAGCTGAGGTGGGCTGTTGGAAGAATGCCTTATGAAACAGAAGGTACCAAATGAACCTCTCTTGTCTCCTGGTGATCATCGCAAGATCTACAGCAAGAAAGATTCTAACACATGATGAGCATTCTGATTCTGAATTTGCGCTGAACTTTGCTATGAATGTGGTTGTTTCTGTCTTTCATTTTTTCTGTCTACTTCTTCTTTATTTGCCACCCGTTCATTTCCGATAGCCCGTCCTGCCAAACTCCTAACTCGTCTGGCAAACTCTTTGGATCATAGCCATCGCAAATGGGGAAACCCTCGGGGCCTGAGTTGCAGCTGAAAAAATGACTATGAACCTGTCTGACCTGGCCGGCCTCACAGTTTTATCCTGGTTTTCAGTGGGCACGGCTCATCCAAACATATCGAACCACTTGTGGTTTGTGGTTAGAACACTCGGCACACTGGGCGATTGGCAGCATAACCTGAGCCACGCTGTCACCAAGTGGCCAGTTTGGAAGTCCCAGCATTCAAAGGTGGCAGACCATTGCTGACCACCTTCCCTGCACAGCCAGAATAATTTCTCGCACAGGTTATGTCAAGTATATCACGGCTTTGCGGCTTTCCGCTCTGTGGGTTAGGCAAAGTTCCAATGCACGTGGCGCCCCCTCTTTTCTTCAAATGATGAAGATCAATGGAGCAGTGACAAAACATATTCAAAAACAAATCGATGCGAAAACGACTTGGCGGACTTTAGTGAGAATCTCCGTATCCAGGTCTGATGAAGAATGAGCACATCCAAGATCTTCCCCACCTCACAAACTGGTCAACAGTCGCAGGGCTTGGCATCCACTGCCCCTGTTTCCAGGCCAAAGAGCGATGTGAAATATACCTCACTTGATGAAAAAACATGAAAAAAGCGACCCCCACTGACGAAGATCCTGGACTCTTGACTGTTGACATATGCAAAGGAACAATGCCACTCCAATTTGCCACCCTGAAGCTCACAATAAATCATCTGGTTGGTTGGGCATTGGCACGTCTGTTGGAATGGTGGGGTTGGAACAACGCTGTATACAAACACAGACATGTGGCCACAAGCGGATGAAGCTACTTTGAGAAGGGTAATCCCTTTGCAAGGAATTGTCAAACCGAGAAACACATGCGCCAAAACCATCCAAAACCATCCCAAACTTACAATTCTTGCAAGACTGTGAGTGCATGGCATATTTCGATTCCAAGATGCTCCGGGTACTTCAAAGGAACACCTGGTTCCACAAAGCAACTTGTTTCACATGGCGCTTCGCTTGCCTCAAGGCCCATGAGTGACTGGAGGGCAGGTGCATATTCTTCAAGGATTAGGAACCAAATCATGCGCATTAGCAATCATCAGCGGCATTACATGTCATTACTATCCACACAGTGGATTTAGCTGCTGAAAACAGCGATGCCCCTCAACTGGTGACCTTGAAGAGGGCTGACATAAAACTCGTCATTGCATACGATGCCAGCTTGAAGCGAAAGCATGATGAAAGTGAAGTCTTGAACGTTCTCAAACACCTCACATTTAAACACCAAGGCCAAACATCATTTTTTTCGGAGCCGATTCAAGCGTTCTCCTCGGACGTGGCGCCTCCCCGGTATCAGGGCACACTGGCATGCACAATTCGCCCCAAGTGCGTGAAATCACCTGCGCGGAAGACGTTTTTCCAGGCCTAGGAATGGATGATCAAATCTGGCAGTAAGACATGAATGATGACGGGCTTCAACATGAGGCAATGCATCATGTTCAGTTTTTGTTCAATGGCTTGTCGAAGTTTGTTTTGCGCATCTCATGAATGGTTGACATATTACCTTCAGAAACATCCCCAGATCTTGACTGAAACATCGGCCTTAGCGCTGCCGTCAGAGAAGTTACACTCCGAAACGTTGAATGCCGTCTTCCTGGTGCATCCCACATGGGGGGATCCATGCCATGGGGGAAGTCTGAATCAACAGGCTTCTCCCGGTCAAAAGTACACACCCAAATCTGAAAACATCAAAGACGCACGGGGTAATATTCAAGAACACTCAGACCCAGAGTGCTTTAAAATAACAATGTGGGCTGGTTTTGAACTATCGGAGCCCTGCCACCACTTCTGGTTTCCCTCTTTGCATAGCCAAGCTTCGCCCGTGAAAAGCATGCAGGATTCGCTGGTGTTTCCACAGCCAAAGTACCATTGATTCCTTGGACCAGGGTACTATCGCAACCCTCAGGGAATCATTGGGTCAAAGCTGGAAATCCACTGGGCATGATGGTACTGATGGTACAATGTGACACAAAACCTCGTGCTTTCTGCTGAAATCGGCAAGTGACGATCTAGCCACAAGGCCAGTTCCAGGTTCAAATTGCTGAATCCCAGCTGTCCCAGAAAACCTGCAACGGTGGAACGCTCCAAATCCATTGGCCTACCTTGCGTTGTACCCATCGCAAAACATGTTTTCTTATTGTGGGAGTTTGAGACTGGTCTACCAATCTCAGACGCTGTGAATGCGTGGTTACGTGCTACCATTCCTTGACGATCACGGAGCTGATAAGCCCCTAGTGACGCTCAATTTGCAGCCAAGGACTGATGTGGCTTTTGGGCACAACCCAACTCAAGTAATCTGCGTTCAGCTCGATGACTGCCGCGTCTAGGTTGGTTGGCCTTGCAGGTGTTGTGGCAAAAATCCCATATGACTCAGGAAAATGAGCTAATGCTGCAATAACTTCATAGACAGAAGACATGTATTTCTACTCAATGTTTACCAACAGTTACCGGCTTTGAGATTCGATACCAAAATGAAGCGACGCACAAACAGCCAAATCCCACCAATCGCACGTAGTGGCATGAGTCAGTTTACATTTATCAGGCAAGCTACAAATGAACGATATTTGAAAGACCAAAGTTGCGACCGCAAGAGAAAAACTATCAACATCAGCAGATATTATTAAGATATGTTATATAAGATATTGTAAAGATATTAATAGTTTTGCCATGTTCCTGCCAAATCTTGCCCTGCCTGAGAAGACCATCAAAGAAAATGCCATAGGACAAGGTGATCCGTTGCTCGCGCCAAGGAAGAAAGCCGCGCTCTTCGACGAATTCCTCTGGCCGTGATAACAAGGAGCAAGCGCACACCGGGGAACCCTGTACAGTAATTTTGGTGCAGCGTTGGAAGTGATTTACTAATACGGAATTTGTGTTCAATCTTCGATCTATCTGATCCACTGAAGGATTCGACTTTACATCCTTTCTCCATGCAGAAACATTTCACAAGTCAACTGACGAATCGCCACCAAAAGGATTGGCATCTTCTCGTGCCACCGCACCTCTGTAGCACGCGGCTCTATCTTGACATAAGTCGGATCTGAATCTTGGTAACCATAAAGATACACCTGGGCATCGCATTGTTTTTTTGGTTCATGTTGGGCAAGGGTCGTTACCAGTCGTAGTGATTGCCTTCCGAACCACAAGCAGATTGGCCACTTTGGGAAGCATCAGGGAATTTCAAGACACAGGTAGAAAGACTAAGTCAAAGGATCTTTGGGCATCTTCCATCGGATCCACAACATCTTCTCTCCAACACCCTGGTTCGCTCACCACAAAGATAGAAATACTCAAGGCACAGCGTTCTGGCGTTCTGCTTGCTTTTGTTTGTTTCGACTCAATAATGATATTGATGATTTTAGGGTTTAGAGTGGGATTTCAAGGTCTGAAGGTTCAGGGTTTAAAGTTTCCTTTGACGGTTTGTGAAAACTGAAGGCAAATTCAAAGTATGCAAACATTAGCCGGATGACTGGCAGGCAAACTGAGGGGTTGGTGTCCGGTTGGAGCGAAAAGTCTTTTCTTTTCTTACAGATCATCTAAGTGTGGTATCTTTGCACAAAATTGGAGATGTTCCAGGCCCAGATGGGCTTTCTTGTCCACTCTGCTGGCCGGCATGTCTTTGGGCACCGGACAGGGTGCTCGCATCGATTTTCGAAGATTGCTTTCTTCACCCTGGTCCACATGAATTCTTTGGCTACAGGTCACAAGCTCTACAATGCAATTCCCATACTCCCTACCCTTTTTGCAAATGGCACTGTTGCCCCTGGAAATTGTGTACCCAGTGACAGATACAAATAGCAGCAGAACTTCTCCAGTTTGTCCCGCCTCATCATGCCATCTGGAACGGACTTGGATCTTGATAACTGCACGCCGCTACCAGCCTTCTGCCTGAGCGTTACAGGCCAGTGAGCCACTGCAACTTCTTTGAACTTTGACCATTGTATGATGTTGGACAGGTTTGCATCAATCTTAGAAGACTACCTCCAACAGTTGCAACGGTTCAATAGTTCAGGGTAGATTTAATGGATGGAAAATCACCAACTTTTGTCGCCGAGGACCAGCAGCTAGCACCTGATGGCTGATGGGTCTAAGATCTCTCGGCTATCTATCTAGCTTTTCAACGCGCTGCAAGCTCCGACACAGGTGAATGTGACCAAAATCCAGCTCACTTGAAACCCGGCTCGTTTCCAGCCTAGCATGACCGAAAGCCATCATGTTAGTTGGAGGTTCATTGGGGTCGCGGTACACCAAGCTGCAGCAGACAGTTCTCCTTCGCTGTCTTTACTCGGTGGTTTTCACCTGCAGCCTGAGATGGCATGACATCGATCGCTGCAGGCCGTGCTAGGTGGGGTAAAGTATTCAAACATATCCAAACATGTTGCATCATTCCGAATTATTCCTGGAACTTCAGAGGATTTGATTTGTTTGACGCAGAAGATGAGAAAAAAATAGATAAGAGCTGTCATGTCACCAGCTGCCAAGAGACGATGTGAACATGAAAGGCCAAAACGAACAGCTTCCAGTGCAACATGGCGCGGGTCACAGCGTTTTGTTCTTTGGGTCGGGCAAATCTGACTCACGAGATGTTATTGGATGCTCAGTTTAGCTTACATTTGGCCACCTTGACGTGAGTGGTTCAACGATTGAATGCTCAGGTACTATCTTTTTGGGTGAAATCAGAAGCGCATGTGCTGTGAAATTCAGGCGTTTGGGCAATCTTCCCTGGTCATGGATGCATTTTTTTGATTCCGGCCCTCCGCAAATGGCACCGGCAGTCAGCAATGCAGTTCTTTTGAACGCAACAAGAACACCAGAAAAAGGGAAATAAAAGAGAGACAAACAATACTTAACTACAGAGAAAGTTCTAGCCAAGGTAAAGGAGAAAAATGGTGTAGAAGCAGCTAACTATTTCATCATACTAGGGGATAAGAGCAATTACCTTGTGCCATGCTGAATCTTTTGTGAAGTTCAGTATCAGTCACCACCTTCACCAGCCTTGTACTTTTCGTACCTCAACCACGGCTTGGAATTGATCTTCTTGGGATTCTCCTGTTGGAACTCGATAGTAGCACCTTCTCCTGGGACACGACTTCCGTTTGGGTGGTCTTTAGCCAGGATATAACCGGAAAGGAATCCTTCGAGTCTTGGGAGCTCCTAGGAGATCTGGAAAGATCAATGTGGAGGAATGGATTCGACTACATTCGACTACCCAAGGGACTCAAGTGAGGGATTTCATCTGGGCTGAAAAAGCCATTTCAATCCGTTTCAACCATCGGCTCAAAAGAGATGCCAGTAATGCAGTAATGCTACAGTGATATCCAGTGACATGCTCAGTTGGGTTCCTTAGGTCACCTCCAAAGTTTCGGATCCCGCAGGTCGCACCTGGCATAGGGTTACCACCGACTCTGTTGCTCTTCAGAGTGGTCTTGCGCACCTTGCCGAATATATGAAACCAACCAAGTTCGAACAAATTCTAATAGTGATGATGGTGATGCTGATGAGGCTACTCATGATCATCATGATCACCATCCGCAGGACACACCGCTATCAATGACATGAGATCATACTTCATAGAGCTGGGTGCTACAAAACCCATTGCACTTGACAACAAATACATCCGAGGTAGATGTGTTGGGCGCCAGACAGGTTTGGGCTTGGTGACTGACTCCACCAACTGGACCTGATAACTTGAGACATTTATCATTTATTGAATAATTATTGGCAATCTTTCCCGGAATTTACCGGGATGAAGACTGTGGTTTATAAAGAATTGCAGATATTCAGCCAAGACAAGTTGTGGCGATTGCTCACTAGTACAGGATCAAAACAAGCGAACAAATAGTAGTAGTGTGTCTGGAGTCTGGATTGCCAAGATTTTCCACTTCATTCAGTTTCTACAGTGATTCCATGCGCAATAGCTTTTAAACATAGCCAGCAACTTGCAAGCGGTCATGGCTTGGGATATTCTCTTGCACACTGATTCTGACCAAAAAAACTGTGGCAAAACTTGGCAACTCGACAAAATATAGCGATTATCTGGGATAATATCAATATGAGATAACTTCATAACTCCATGCGTGGAACCTTGCAAAGTTCCAAACAAGCGAAAAAAAGTCACCATTGGTTGGGCTTCCCACTTTCAGTGACATCTTACCACCTGCGCAGTCCTCAACAAACTGTTTCTTGGTCACGAAGCGTTACTTTACGCACTGTCCCGCCTCAGGTGTCGGAAAGTCCCGGACATCTGGGTGCGAAAATGCTGTGGCTTCCGACCTGCGGCACGCTCCATGGAAGCTTCACAATTTCTTTGTGGTCACCTAAGCTTCTCCAAAAAACTCAAGTTTCACCATGAAGGGTGGCCGGGCAAACTCTTGTAGCGTATGTGAAATGTGACAAGTATCCTCTCATCACTCAGGAAATTTTCACAGCGGGCTCCGGATGATCCTTGGGGCGTATCGGTGCTGAAGCATGGGAGCTCCTTCTTATTAGAACTCATCTGTGACAACCGAATATTTGGAGATGATTGTTGTGGCTTCAAGCCTATGGAATTGCAGGACTGTGGCTGTAGGTGCGAAAATCTTCTAGCAAAATTTGATGGGTTTTCCCAGATTTAAGATCTGAGCTGATGGAAATTATGGACCTATGGGCCAAATTTTTGCCAAAGACATGTGGCTCGAGCGCTGGGCGCAGCTACGCCACAAAGACTTCGTCCACAGGGTATGCAAGGAACCTGGATTCGATGAAAATGTTCGACTCAAATGACTGAAACCAGTTTAGCATAGTTTAGCTGTTTGATAATCCAATCATCCTACAATCTTCGGTGTTGACTTTGACAAATGTGACAAATCATCTTCCATAGCTTCAAGCCAAATCCATTTCATCAATTTTCGCCTTAGTGTGCAAACCCAACTGACCCAGGGGCAGGATTTCCTCCCAAAGCTCCAAGTCCCCAGCCGCAAAGGTTGTGCTCCGGTCCAACCCAGGTCCTATGTGATTGTTGGTCCCAGGGTGACTGAATGACAAGTAGAAACCAAGGTACAAATTTGGTGGGTATAGTCATCAAAATAAGGAAATTTCCTAAGAAATCATAAGCTTCTTCTATTCTAGCTGGTTTCAAGGGACTCTGCTATCTGGGGCACAAAGCCTCTGTTCAGAATCTTCTAGAAACAAGTTGGGGTAGGGACCAGCGGCAAGGGCAATGACACTCATGAGTGCCAAAGACATCTTTAAAGTATCATTTGTTTGGTGTAGCAAGCGTCCTCTGCACAGGACTGCTCCAATGGAACCCAGTTTTCATTGACCAACCTCAGGTGAAGTGTACCATGACCTGGATCTCATGGGCATCTTTACAGCTGCTTAGACTGTTGATGCACATCTTGATGCAGCTGCACTATCCAAAGATATCTGCTTTTTCATGAAGTCTGTTTGATATGAATGATGGGGATCTAAAGTCTACAGCAAAGCAGTCCTTCGAAAGGTCCATAGAATCACTACATTCACTACATACTGTAGGTACTAAATGCATCTGCCAAGTGTGAGATCCCTTGGATCCACTCGAAACTTCCTGGTACCACGCCAGGAGACACATCGAAGTCCACAGCTGAGGCGGAGATCCCGGGATGCCTGGAAGGGCTTGGCTGGAGAAGCTGGGCTAATGCACCGGCACGCCATGGCACGCCATGGCACGCCATGGCACGCCATCTTGGGCTCCAACACTTCCGAAAAACACTTCGATAGCATGGGCCTGCCAGCCGAAGGGGCGTGGAAATTGAAATCTCTTCTGCATTAAAACTTCTTCATACTTCTTCTATTTATTCTTGATGGGATCAAGTGCAGGGCACCTCAAAAGTAGGCCCCAACCCCACTTTTGTGTTTCGTTTAGGGGACACCACAGGGGAGATGCAATCAAGTGGATCTGGGAAAGCACAGTCTTCTCGTCTTCTCAGTCCAAAGCAGCACCCTCCGACTCGCTTTTGGAACAGTGCTGGCACAAACTCACGACGCATCCAGGAGTTCAGCCATGCCGCGTTCATGCAAATCACCACAAACATTGCTGTCGACATGCCCGGACACTGATGCTGCTGTGTCCGCGTGTCGCTCTGTTGTGGGAGATGCTGCACAGCAAACCCGAAGGCCTGGGTTGTCTAAGGGTAAAGAAGAGGGCAAACAAAGAAGTCACTAGGATGAATCAACTGCCCAACCGTGCGGCCGGGACTTCTAGGAGCCATCTGGGCAGGAATGCTTCAAGAATCTGTGAGCCATTTTTGGGCCTCCATTTCTCGTTCTTCATTTGTCATTTATCAAATCTATCATTCATCCTGAGTCTCCGAAACCTCTCAGCATAAATAACTCGATTGGTTTTACCAAGAGTGAGACGAGCTGGGCTGCAGAGTTGCGGATCTGAGCAATCTAAGCAACATGTCCTGCTGCTTGGCATCCCGCATCAGCAAATGATTCACTTCGGGGATTGCAATGTTAAGCTTTTCACTACAGTGATTGCCACCACTACTTTTTGGCCTTAAACCTCTATATGCAAAGCTTGGTTGTCATCTAATTCCCATACGCTGCATGCGAGATGCCATGCAAATCAGCAACCACCCGTCAACGTTTTCATCGGTGTCAACCGAAATTTTGCCGGTTGCAAACAGCGATTCCTGCTGGTTGGTGGTTTTGAAGCTACAAGCACATCATCGAAGTAACTTGATGTTTCCCAAAAAGGGCAAGGTTAAAAACCTTCTCCGTTCCTACCATCCAGCAATATACTTTCAGTGTCAATTGGCTACAGCTGTGATGGCGCTTCTGCAAGCTGGTAAATCGTTGGCGTCCAGTGAAATTGGTGCAAGTTTGAGAAAACAGCTTTGTAAAACATTGATCTTGTTCTTCATGATGAATGATTCTGAAAATGATGAATGATGCACTTTTCGAGAAGGTAACACAATTCTGATAAATCTCTCACACCTGCAGAATCTCCGGTGGGGATGATCCTCTGGCCTCTCGCCATGGAAGAAACCCACTTCTGTGTCCGTCTCCGTGCAGTTCTTGCATGACACGGTGCACGGCACGGTGCGATCTGGTGCAGATAGATTTCCTTGAGGATTTCAAGATCCGCAGCCTGGATGGCGAATGGCAATGAGGGATTCCAAACATGATTATATTATATTATATTATATATGATTATTCCATGCGCAGGGCTCAATATTTAGCAATAGTGTCAGGTGTGGTCAGAAATTCAACCCAATGGATCCCAATGGAATAAGCCACAGGGCTGCTGGGAGAAGCTCCGTACCCAGCAATGAAACCTCTGATGTCGGCAGCTAATGAAGATATGGTTTCAAAACAAAATCCATAGCATACAAAAAAACATCCTGAACATCTCTACAAATCTTGCTGGGTGGACCCTGAGTAACGCCAGCAATTTCTCTGCCAAGGAGCTGTTTTCATAGGCCTGGGGACCGAAATCCCCTCCTCGGCGATTCTTATGCCCGGCATTTTGGTGCTTTGATCGCCTCAAAGGACCGCCGAAAGCGATGATTGTGAGTGTTGCATGGTGTTGCATGGTGTTGCATGGTGTTGCATGGTGTTGCATGGTGTTGCATCCATCATGGGCTGCACATGAGTTTTTCTGTGCCTGTGTGGGTGGCGGAAATGGAATCTGCTTGCCATCCTCCGCGGTGGGTTTTGCAGCAGGAAACTTGGGCCCGGACACCAAATTTGATGGGACCCAACCCAAATTCAGCGAGCGCTGGGCCACACGAAAATGCCGGACCTTTTGATTTTAAACTGCTCAATGCTAGTCTAGCAAGGTGGCAAGACACCCACTGTTTCATTGCTCCACTGAGCACCTAAAAGCATGGTTAGCGATGGCCCCATAGGGACCGTCCTGGAAGAGAAGTGGTTTGCACTGTGCAGAGACGGAGGGATGCATCACCGGACTGTTGCGATAACCTCAAGGGACGAGGACGAAACCATCGAGGTCGACATCAGAAAACCATTGAGGTGGTCCATGAATGATATGGAGGCTTCCTGAAATGGGGGTACCCCCAAATCATCCCATTTTGGAAGGATTTTCCAGTATAAACCATCCATTTGGGGTATCCACATTCATCGAAACCTCCACATGAATGGAAGATTCTTTTGCCTTCACCCTTTGTGCGCCACTCAGGCCCATGCCCATTGGAGATTTCGTGAGTAATCTGATTTACCAAGTGACTTTTGATGCTTTCCCCCGTAATGCTTAAAGGTAAACTACTCTAAGATGAACTATGATTTCCTGCATAACCATCAGCTTGTATGGGGGCTTGGGCATTTCAGGTCGTTTTACATTTACCAGCCACTCTGGTAGAACTTGAGTTGAAGCTTAATTGGTCGAACGTGCAAAGGTCAGTCTTATCAAAAATCCCAAGAATTGCAAATCGATTGCCTCAGTTTTTTTTCGTCCCGGATTGTGGTTATGGCATTCATGATTGGCTTTTCATATCTTTTCATCATACCACTTGCAGCCGGCATTGGTCATATCCAGTCACATCCTCCGATCATCCCACCGTGGAGCGATGAGCCAAGTCACGTGCAACGTGCTCATCCAGGCCTTGAATGTCGGTGGACCAAGACCTAAGCCACGACTTCGAAGTGGGATGATCCAAGTGAAGTTTGGAAAAGATGAAGTTCTTTAGGCTACAAGCATTACAAGTCACTAGAAGTATCTACAAGTGGGATATCTTGCTAGATCTTGGGATACATTGGCATATGTATTGGGATCTGTTGGGATTTGGGAAAAAGGCCCAGTTATGAAATTTTTCTAGGGACCATCCCAGTAGGATATCTGTGGCTTCACAGCCCAAAGCTAGGTGAACGGAGGAAACCTTTGGTCGCGCATGCGAACTTCCTAGACACTTGAAACTTTAAAGAAGCTGATTTCATAGCTGAATTCATATATATATATATATGTGTATATGTATATGTATATGTATATGTATATATATATATATATATGGGATATATATGGGGTTCATGGGGGTCTTGAGCACACAAATGCTGATGGAAAAGTGTTTCAGCAAAGAAAATGATGTTGGATAAATCCACCCTGAAATCCTCCCTTTTGCTACACTGCTACGGTACATCTGCGTTTGTCCCATAACAGGGTACCCCCCCAAAAAAACATGGTTTATCAATGACTTTAAAATCACCTAGTATCGCAACTAAATAGCAACTTTTGGGTACACCAAGCAACAAAACACCCCGGCCTTTTTTCTCCCCAAAACTTCACCGAGCAACATCGCCAGGCAGGAAGGCTCATCCCCAAAGCAACAGGTGTAGCCATCAAAGTGAACCCAAAATTCTCCTCAGAGCCCGGTCCAAGGGTCAGAAACTGAAGGATATCATTACTAAAAATAGGGAAGCAAAAACGGGAACGTCATTATCAAGTAAAAGAATGTGGATATGGTTACGCCGTATGGGGTTACGAAGAATTTACAGGGGAGTTCACCCAAAGTTGGGTGATTTTGATGCTTCGAGTCAACCATGGCTTGGATATCTTGGATATACTAACCTCAATGTATCCGGGTATGGCTCAAGGCAATAAATCTGAGGACGGGGTTCCCAAAAGAGGATCAAAATGACTACAGTGACTACAGCTATGCCAAGTCTCGAGTCACCTCTGCATTGACCAAGTTCACAAAGGCGTAGCCTCAGAGGCAGGGGCTTTTGTGTCCTTGGATGTAACCTGGGAATCCAAAACCACAGGATTTCCATTTTCAAGTTGATGGATCAATTTCCTGATACACTTTAAACATCATTATTTTGGGGTTTCCGTGTTTGATCCATGACCACTTTGCAACATCTACGAGAATCATCCACATGAATGGACAGGTGCAAGTCTCTTCCAAAGCATTGCTGACTGGTTGAATGTGTGTTGGGGTATGACCCCATTTTACTCTCCTTTGACACTGACACTGATTGTATAGGGCTGACAACAGGATGTCCAGTTGCGTATCTAAAACCTAGGATGGTCCAAAAGGTCAGTCTGCAAACTGGGGAATGACATCCTTGTTGATACCTGATTTGTTGATCGGTTTTTTGCCACGGACCAGTGCCAGTGCTGTGGGAATTTTTTCGAGTGACCAAAAGGCAACTTGCTGATGAACTTCATGGGCAGGTAGAGGAAGTCATAGGATCCACTGAATCCGGCATCATCGAGAAGCTTCTGGAGGTGCTCCTTTTTGGGTTGAAAATCATCGGACTGGGATTTTCCAGCCATGTTTGATCGTAGGAAAACAAGCTGTCTTCGAACACCAGGAAATTGCTCTGGCCATGACAGAAATGACCCTGAATTTCTCGGCCAAGCTTCAATGGTGCAGCTCTGGGGCAAGTTTTTGATCATCACACTGGTCCTGGCGCTGCATAATTGGGCTGCTGGTTTTCCGAAAAGTGCAGCTTCTCGGATACAATAAGCACATAGCCATGGATATTCCCATCCATTTGGAAGGGTAGTAGTGCTTCTTCTAGGGCTACTTCTAGCATTTTCAAGAGACCAAAAGGACCCTAATCACTGGAATTCCGAAAATCTGATCATTTTCCCCCACACCATCCCCCCACATCGTTTCTAAATCATCTTGAACAAATTCGGAAATACCACGACTACGATGATTCAATGTATCTTCCCTACTCACCCCCACATAAAATAGCCACCTCACAAGAGCAATATACGTAATCTATCTACATCGATATATGATCTATATCTACATCGATATGTCTATGTCCCCCCAACGGTGCAACGCGGTGCAACGGAGCACCTGTGCTCATCCACATCCCACCACTCCATGGATTGGGAGGCGGTGGTGCTGGAGAGAATGTCTTCTGTGGAGATCCTCCTGCACGATTCATGGAGGTTTCACCGGGGAAGTTTCACGTGCAATGAATATGGGATGAATATGGGATTCTCAGCAGGAACGATTGGGAAAACAGGGATGCAGACAGAGCATCAACCTGGAAACAGCTGAAAAGCCGACAAAACGGGTCCCTTTTTCCAATTGCACCAATTCGATGTTCGTTGATCACGCTGGGTCATCGGGATAGAAATCTCAGAGCCACTAAAAGTTCAGATATGGATTTTTGTCAAATGAATTTGACATAAATTCAGCATGTGCGGAGGATTCTTGTCGCCTGGTGGGCTTGGGGCCATCTTCCAGGAAGGGAAAGTCCACCTTGTTGCCTGCAAAGGGCACATCACCCAGAGGGATGTGCATCCCAGTTGAGTCGTGTTTTTTATCATTGTCTTTTGACCAGTAACATACAACCTACGCAACTGTCTATGCCGAGCCTACGCCATTGCATGACGTAGCCTACGCGGGGTATGGTTTTTAAATGTTTTTAAGGGGTGTCTACGCGAGCCTACGCGGTGTAGGCTTTGCCTACGCGGCCATGCCTTCTTTTTGTTTCCAATTGTGGCATGAGGCTTTGGAACCACACACAACTAACCAAGGCAAAATGAATGAGTTCTAACTCTTGCGAACGCGTGTCTATACACAAAGTCTACACGGTGTAGGCCAAAACGAGCCTACGCCAATGCCTACGCAACCTACGCCGTCTGCATGGGAGCCTGCGCCTGGGGCATAATATGTCTTGTGGAGTTCCCACTTTATCTATTTTTCTGGATCCAGAAAAAAACGCTACTCAGTTGATACGTGGTATATAATTTGTAACCCATATATCACTGGGGTACACCCTATAAATAACTGAGTGAAATGATTGAATTGATCTAATCGACCAGAAGAATATGGGACCCAGTCAGCTTCCGATGAGAAATTCGGATGAGGGTTCAAGGCTATTCATACAGATGAACAACATGGGTGTTAGAACACTTGCAACTGTCAAGCAAAACTGTCAAGCAAAACAGCCTTACTCACACGCAACGGGTCCGTTCACCGTAAATCATCTGAACATCTAGGAACATCTCGGAAAAATTGACCATTGATTTCCATGGATTTCCATTGGGCCATTCTTGCTGTAGATTTCTCCATTTTCCAACGGATGTCATGACAACATAAGGGCGGCCTTTGCTGCATCGCCGTCCAAACATCGCCGGGGAGGACTCTTGACGACGCAGGCCACCGGGCGACATCGGGGAGCCGGGACCGGAGTCCTGGGGATCATTGGATGATTTGGATAGGGATCATGGCCCATAGATTTTTTGACAGTTATAAATAGTTATAAATAGCTAGAAATAGGTTTTTTGTTAGATTTCTATAAGATTTCTAAGATATCTGATATTGGATGATTGGATATTGGGTGTTGGGATGGACTTCTACATTTTTGTGGTTGAGTGTCACTTTTATTGGGAGGCTTCACATGGCTAGAGCATCCACTATTGGCAGACGGGTCTGTAATTCTGAAGTTGGGCGTTTGGTATTTCAGATGGCTTGTGATTCAAGTCACAGCAGTTTTCCTGGTTGAGGCGATTCAGATGGAGAAAACCGATACAAAACCATACAAAACCTATAGTTTTGCATGGGATGGGGATGCAGGGAGTTCTACATGGGTTTGTCTGACAAAAGGGTACCCTTGAATCTAGTGATTAATATGATTAATCATCATTTTCATTCATTTTCCTGATTAACATGGGGATTTGGTGAGCATATCCCATTAAAGACACAGCCAAATGGTTGCAGTCCTCTTCCTCCTCAATTGGAACGGTGTAGAAGGTGTTCTTCACGATCAGATCAAAGCCGTGCCTCGGCTCCGCTCCAAGGGCATCTGACATAGACATAGACAGGGCTTGAAATTGGCCACAAAAAAAGGGTAGTTTACTATTGACATCTATTGTCTAATAGATGGTTTAAATATGTTTAAATACTTGCAATTTTGAAGATTAAAGATAACCAAGAACTCTTTCCCCAGGGTCTTGAAATCCTGATGTCTTGATAGTTGATGTGGTAATCACCACAAAAACCCATGGTATCCATCAGCAGAACTGCCCTAGGCCCTAGGCCATGACCATCCCCAGCATCCCGTCGCCCAGATGCGTGTTCATGGCCATGATGAAGATTGGTCTCGAATCGGTCCGCTGCACGCAGGGAACGCCGCGGGGCCTTTTGCGTAACGGTTGCACTTTCCTCCAGCCAAGCGTCTGCGAAGTGTCAAATTTGAGAAGGTTGGCACCTGAAAAACTTTGGGAGTCAACACTTCTCTTCCTTTTCCGATGTCAACTTTCGACCACGATTAGGGTATCTATTGATCCTGAAAAAATGTGTCCCAGCTGGATTATTGTAACAATGGAGTTTAATCCCAACAAAACTGGAGACTTTGAAGTCCAGAAGGTCCACGAGTCACAGGGGTTGTCATTTAATACGTAGCTATGTAGCTATGTAGCTATGTAGCTATGGAGCCTAATCTATATCTATATCTATATCTGTATCTATCCATCCATCCATAAGAAGTATATGTTTATTTACTTTTATTTATATAATATCGCATGCACAGCCACTTTTATCTAATCAACAACTGGGGATACGATTTTGGGACACCGACAAGTAAGCCCGAGTTGGTTTTTGTGGCCTAAAGATATCTAAAGATACCTCCAAATGTGGGTTTGTCTGAAAATAGGGTATATTCCCAATTATAGCCATTTAATAGGGATAATGATCATTAACCATTGGGTTTAGGGGTACACTATTTTCAGACACACCCATGTAGTCAAAGTATGTCAAAGTTGGGTATACATTGGGCAGCCCACAGCTGCCACAGCTCGCCGGAGCCTCAAGGGCTGCTGTCGGCGTTCCGCCTTCAAACTCCAGCGCCTGACGAAATGCCAACCTTGGTAGCGAGCGGTGTGTGGTGTCGAGGTTCTTGGGGAAGATTACAAGCCAACAACTGGGGCTGAAGAAGGTCAAAACCCGTGCTTCATTGTCTTCATTGGAAAGGAACATGTTAAGAAAAAACGAAGATCATGTTTTGACTTCCAAATCTACAGCTTTCAGGATTTCCCTGCAATATTCTCTCAAATCAACACTGAAAGTGTTGCAGATTACCTTTGGAATAGCACTTCAGGCTTGAACCTTGGAAATGTTTCCGAAGATGTCAACAGCGCCAAGCATGGACGAACATCTTCCCCATATGATATAGCACTATAGTCAGGATTCAAAGTCACTGTTCTGGTCATTGGTTGCAACCCTCATTGCAAAATACTGCTGGTACTCAATGGGAAATCAGCAACCGGTACAACTGCAGTTGGTCAAAACCCAAGGAGCTCTGGAGAGTCCGCCGCACGATCATCCAATGCCAAGTATGAGCATATCATATCTGAGATTCTAAATCAAACACACAAAATTTCCTAGAGGTAGTCGGAACTAGCAACCCTCAAAATAGATGGTTTCATGTTTTTTTCGATTCAAACAGCTCCACTTTGATCCAAGCTCTGTTTCTGGGGAGCGCTGCCATCAGCTTCTTCGGCCTGGACCTGAGCCGATCGAAAAAAAGAAAAAGTGGAAACTATGCTTTGACTGATTTGACTAACATTTGATGTTTTTTTGGAAAACGTCTGATGAAGCTGTAAGCACCTGATGACCGGACACATAGATATTGGGGGTTCCTAGGACCGTCACCTGCTGAGCTTTAGACTCGCTAAGAAGCAGACTTGGAGTGGTCAAGCCCTTCAGTGTCCCCCCCTTTTTTGTTCAGCAAAAATCACCCATCTTCCGCAAGGTGATCGCACGTCGAACGACCCCATCACCCATCATTTTTCCTGTTCCGAGACCTCTGAGACCTCCGAGACCCCAAACCTCGAGCTCAATGAGATCAGCCGGTCTCTCCTGCCATCGCAGGTCACCGACACACTGTGGATCCCAGGATCTCGGACGTCGACTAGTGTTCTGCTAGATTCGTCCCTACAAATTGCAGATAGTCATAGATAGTCTATGTAGGAATTGCATGTAATTGCAAAGTACTTAGCTATATGATGCTATATGCTATATGCTATGGGAACTCCATGAAAGTCCTTATACTTATACCCATCACTCTCCATGCCGAATTCCTAGATCTTTCTGACCCGCCTTGGCATCTTTCTGAGCCCAAAAGTCCTGAACCAATCGATTCACCAGCTCCTCACCAGGGAGATGGGAAACCAGAAATCACAAAAAAAATCCCCAATGGGGTCAAAATGGGTCAAACCTCTTCACCTGCCAACTACTGGGACATGTTGGGGACCAAATAAATTTAGGCACTCATCTGATTGAAATGCTGTTGAGAAATTATGGGCCTGAAAGGAGAACAGCAGCGATGTCAATGAAAAGAAAAGGATCTGTTTGGATCGGAAGTAGATTGACTGTGACCTAACTTTGCTGCTTGCAATCGTTGTTTGCATGTTTGTTTTGGAAATCTCAGTCCAGCGTGGGTTTGCTTCTCTTCAAGAACATCAGCATATAGTTTTTGTTTTGGGTCAGTTTCTGTTTGGGTCAAGTGCACCAAAATTTGAAGATGCACTCATCTGGCGCTCTATGATTTGCCAAGAATTCAGGATACCCTGGCAATTTTCTCTGGGAAATATGATGGAAAATCCACTTGGGAAGGTCATTTGGGTCGTTGCTGACATGTTGACCTCAATGTGCTTCACAACTCCCCCAAAATCCAAAACATCCCCAATGATGGCCAGAAAAAACATAAATAAACCACATCACCATTTCTAACAACCAATTTCACAACATCTATATTTTCCGGGTGTCATTGCACGTTGGGATATTGCCATGGAACCTTTTTTTGTGCGTCCCATGATGTCCCAATGTTGTCCCATGTCCGCGAGGCCTTGTCGTTTTCCAAGGCGCCGTCCTCCAAACAAAGGACCTGGCAGAGCGTCTGCGACTGGTTCAACCTGCAAAAAAACCCAATGGCGTTGGAAAAAAAGAATAGATTCCAAGACATTGATCAAATAGTTTTTTTTTTGGATTTCCACTTCCAATCTTTTCCTAGGATCACCATATACAACATATCCATTTTTGCCATGTCCAAGTGATTCGGTTTCAATGGAATCGCCCAGAGATGTCTGACTTGCCAAGGCCGCTTGGATCCCTATGGAATTTCGCAGGTCTGTTCCACAGAACCTGATTCCTCCCAGAATCCATTTTCTGAGATTTTTGGCTCCAGTTCCCTTCCCAGATCCACAGCTTGGTCCAGTTTGTCCAGTTTGCAGAAATTCCTCATCCGACACCTGCTCCAGCTTGTTGCGGAACTCCCTTTGACTCCTATGCCGTTGGACATCTCAAGATACTTCAGTGCAAATCGCTGGATTCGCCACTGAGCTGCTGACAATTGATCTGGATCATTCCCTGAAAGCTGTGCGTTGGAAGGTCGGGTGGGATGTTCCACCTGAATGTTGAGCCAACCTGGAAAAACACATGAAGTTACCGTTGGAATCTTGGAAACTGTTCAAGATCTTTCTTTGGGTCGGAAACTGCCTAGCAGCAAATTTGCTGCACCTGCCTGCGCTTGATGCATGTTTTGCAGAATGGTACTTGGAAGAAATGACTGTTGCTTCTGTGGAACTGGGTCCATCGTGAGGTATGAAGCAGGTGGCTCACAATGATGGGACTCCCAAAACTGGACCACTGAACTGACTCTACTTGGATGAGGTGTTAAGTCCTGTTAAGTCGTAATCCAATCCATTTGGATTGAAGCAACCAAGTTGCTCAACTGCTTGACAACTATGCTGAAATGAACTCCTAAAAAATCGCTCAGCCACTGAGGTCACTCTGGTATTTTTAACTGGTATAAAACATGCCCTAAAATTGTCACATACTCCTCCGTTCAGTGTCACAAAAATCAGCACATTGACCATTCACCGGTCCGTCAGAGGATCATCGCTGGGACTTCCCCACGGCTCAACAGGAACTCAATCTCGGGTCTCAAACGATCCGCCTGGAGGAAACTGGAAAAAAGCGGCTAAGTTTGTTTTTTGTGAAGTGGAAGGGGCCTTGATTAGCCTTGATATGGTATCATGTATATAATTGTATATATCTATATAATTATATAATAATTATTAATATACGATATGTATCAATATAGTATCATGATATACCTGTTGTGCTGTTGATATCGAGGTTACTCTGAGTTCGCAACAAAATGTCTGTGAGGGAGCAGTTCCCAGTGACCAACTACAGAGCTAGTGTGACGGGCAAAACTAAGCTATAACCGCTGCAACATGTCTAAAATGATTGGAAATCCTGGAGTCTAATGAGTCTAATGAGTCTAATGAGTCTAATGGCCCAAAAATGTCCAAAATGTTGTTGAGAAATCCTTTCATCTATATCTTCTCTCGACATGCCAAAGCTCAGCCGGATCTGGGCTCTCTTGCACTTACAGGAGGCATTGGTGGGCGCAATGGCCCTTTTCAAATGTCTGTAGCTTTGGATGAGGCTTGTAGCCCCGTGTAGCCCTGCAATCTGTTGCTGTTGGTTGGATGGCTCTGTTTTCCACTGTTCGAAAGACATCAATGGGTTGAGGCTTGCATCCACAAAAGACATACGGATATGAGTCGAAATTTGAGGCCCAGGGGACCGCAGAGTTTGTTTATTTTCACTATTAACATCCAATTTTAGGGATACTCAGTTTTGACCTATATCTATATAGTCAAAGTCGTGCAATCTTATCGTTTTAGCCTTTCATGCCTCCAACAACTTGAGGCCCTTGGATCAATGGCTTTGCATGTCTGCAGCTGGAGCCAAGTGGGCTCCACCGTTACAAGTGGGCAAAACTTGGGATGCACCAAATGCACGTCCGCACGTGAGAGTAACAAGTGGGGGAATCCAAACCTTACCATCACGCTGTTGTGTTCTTATGCATTATGTTGTATACATCACAATTCAAATCATTCCATTGCCTTTGAATTTGCCGGGGGGCAGTCAAACCATTCCCTTTTGTGCTAGGACCTGGTAGGATATTCACCATGTTTTGTTCGTCCGGAGCTTAGGCTCCAACAAAAAGGCACCGTTTTGCCGGGCGACGTGTCCGAAGGTTTCCAAAAAGGCAGACTCCAAGAGCAATCCGCGGCAGTCTTTGGCATGGTTTTTTGAAGGGAAGGAACATCCCAATAAAACCGTAGTGGTCTTACCCCAGAAATACATTCAACTAGGAACAGCATCCCATGGCAAAATTGACTAGCTGGAAGGGCTCGCTTGGAAGCTTTTGACGCTGATGGACACCAGTCCAAGCTTCAAACCATCATCGATCATCATGGATCAGAGTGCTCTCATCAAGTCGTGGATTCTCACGGTGCTTAGCATGGTGAATGGGCAATGTCCCAAAGTATCCAAATGTCTGTAGAACCACAAGCACAGACTGTTTTCACGCACTGGTTGATTGTTCCAACACCTTGATGTGTTTCCATAACAATGGGGTCCTGAATTCTCCAAAGTCTTGACACACAAAATCCCTAAGCAAACCTCCTTCAGATGTCTTTTCTTCCTGAGATTGAACAAAATTGTTTCCGCCGTAACTTTTGAGACGTCCATCCACCTCTGCAACGGCAGACTGCCAAGCACAGCGTGGCGGCCAAGCTTTGTGGCTCCGATTGCTAAACTCAATTGGCTTTGTGATCATGAAAACTTATGAAACCCATCAAGCTTCAGAGGGAATTAGTAATGTCAAAAATCAATTTCTGAGGCAGGGAAATGGTGTCCAAATGCAGTAAAGTTGGTGATTGATAAGCATTGATAAGCATTGATAAGCCACATACCGGGAATTCTGGGAGGTAGTGGTAACATTTCCCCAAAAATCCCAACGGGGTCCCAAGCATTTGACCGGATCATCTCCATAACAGATTGTTGGAAGAAAATCCTCAACGACTTCGTAGTCGTCTTCTCAGCCGTTCCTCTTCGGCCTGTCGGTGACCGGAGCCAAGGACGTGGTCTCTTTGAACTTCAAAGACAGGAAAGACAAAGTAAACATCTTGGGATTTCCATGAAATGAATTTACGGAGTATCAATGAGATTCAGAAAAAACTATGAATATCTATGAATATCTTCATCATCTTCCAATCCAGCTGGTCCATCTCGCCTGATGTAGGACTTGCTTGGCATGCTCAACAAGACGCATGCGCTTCTGCTCCGCTTCCTGAGGATCCAACTCATGGGGGGTAGCCTACGGGGTACCATAGTAGCCCGGTAGCCGTGGTAACCTACATTTTGACCATGGATTTTGCAGTGATAAATGGTGGATAATGGTGGATAATGGTGGATAATGGTGGATAATGCTGGATCATGGTGCTCAAGTTGCCTGATTTTCATGATTTTGTGACTTGGCACTGCGCAACTTTGCACATGTCTGGTAGATATACATACGTAGGATGATGGCACTTTTGACTGGGGTGTGATTGGGAACTTGGCCTTGGCTCTCATGCCGCCTGAGAATGGATAGTGTGACTATAGTGTGACTATCTGTCGGAAAAAACATCTCTGAACATCAATTGATACCATCTTCCCATCGATGTGTGTCCAGAACTGATGGCTGAAACCAGCGAAACCACCCTGCAGGCGACTTTTGGGTAACTTTTGGGTAACCACCAAGCGCCCCAACAGCACGCTGCTGGAGGTCAAAGTTGGCAGCCTCGCTAGATGTGAGGTGTCCTGAAGTCCTGAAGTCATTTCAGTCCTATTAGAGTGGATTAACTATGGATAATGGTAGATATAACGAACTAGCTCATCTGGGTTATAAACCAACTTATAACTGGGGGGCACCATCCTGTAGTTTTGGCATTCACAGCTGGGGGCAGCTGGGATTGGCAGCGACTCCGCCTGGCTTTCCATCTCTTGTCGCTCCTGCTGCTGCTCCAAGAGCTCTTGATGGCGCTGCTCCTCTCGCTGCCTTAGGGCGAGAGGATTCCCCATGGATGATGCCAATGAATCTCCAAGATATTGGACAGTATAATAGTATAACACTTACAATCAACCAGGGGTTGGTAAAAGCCAATGCTCATCTGGGCTTATTTCACGGATGTACAAACTGAAACATGAGTTTATTTGCGGTAACTCAGGGGAAGCTGTCTTTGTTGTATTTCCATTAGGCTCTCCATTACATGAAAGCTGTGCAAAGAAACCCTGGAGCTAAAGATGCTAAAGTTAGGGGTGGCTGACTTGAGCAACAGGCTATCCAACGTCCTTCATCCCAACCAACCATGGCAGTAGCTATGGTTACCATTCTCAATCATCCACAGAATCCACAGCGCTGTTTAACGCCAAGCCCCAAGGGCCGGGCCCCCAGACCTCATTTGCTCCCGTGCGGATTCCATGACCTCCCGAATTTTCTGCTGCTGCTCTGCCTCCTGGGACATCTGTGATCGGGATGAAATGAACAGAATCAACTTGCCCAAGCTTCACTTGAAGATTCCGAACCAATTCCCAGGTAATTCTTCCGGAATTCTGAGATAATTCCCAGGTATTCTTCATGATCCTTGAAGATGTTGATTCTTCACCCTCATCTCCTCCTGGCGCATCTTCTGCAGCAGTTTCTGCGCGTGTTGCTTGCGCAAGACCTCTGCCTTGGCGGGGATGGTCGAATGAGGACGTGGTTGAAACTCAACTGGTCAACTGGCGGTTTCAACAAAAGGAACCTCATTTTGGGAAAACATCTCAATATCATTTTACTGGTTGGTGGTTTCGAAAAATATGAGTTCGTCAGTTGGGATCATTATTCCCAGTATATGGACAAATAAAAAAGGTTTCAGACCACCAACCAGATTTTAAAATTTGGAGGATCCCTTTTGAACTATTTTCCCCTCCTGGGGAGGTCACTATGCCAATGGGAAACACAGACACACACACACACACATTTTTTTAACCACCTGGTTATTTTGAACCAACAAAAAACCTGCTCAAAGTTCATGCTTTGACAGTGGCGGTATCAATGTGAAAAAATCCACTTTCTGTATCTTTAAATGGTGGTGCAAATCTTGTGCAGCCATCAACTATTGGTTGAACTATGGGTTGGTGACGGGGATGTGCCAACAGGTACTCCTTTCTTCATGCCATGGCTGGAAGCTAATCGCTATCTGTCGTGGAGCACTGATACTCGGGCTTTGATCTATTGAGACAAAACAAGCCTATGCTTCAAAATTGGCTTGTCCAGCGAAATTTCAAATGGCGATCTCGAAATCAACTACTTCCTGTGCATGTCGTCACAATCTTCACCAAATGATTTTCCTTTTCATGTGTGGAGCACTTTGGAAAACAACAAATGAGACGTCGCTTGGTTGGTTTCCACTTGTATCCCCCCACGCCTGCGCTTGAAACTCTGCACTGGTGGGTCGATGCCGAGGTTTGTGCCGGCCTGCCACCATTCAACTGGCATCTCGGTCACATTGGGGGCCACCGAATATGATACCAAGACATACCAAGTAGGTTCTGAAGCTCAACACATACCATGAAGCAGTGAAATAGCAGCGAAATACCCGGTGAAGTCCCTTCTTAAAGTCATCTGATTTCCAATTTCCCTTTTCAGATCCTGAAAACATCCCATCCCGACACCACGACATGCGCTTCCACATCGCCTGCCTGTTGGAATTCCACCTCCGCGTTTCTCCATCTGTTCGCCCCGCAAGACTTTGGCACCTTGGCGCTGACACAATGACAGCTACATCTGGGATGTGCGGTAGAGATTTAAGACAGGGAACCGCAGCTTTTGGTTATTTGTTGTACAAACAAGGGAATCCGTGTATTTAAAGAGCACAACAAAAAAACTCGGCTGACTAGGCTCATTTGACAGAATCATGGATTCTTTATCCAAAAATCGACCTGTGAGATGCTTTCCGTTGAACCAGGTGGGATCGTTGCAACCCCCCTGCAGTGTCAATAAACCCATCAATCTTCCCCCCGCTAAGTAGATTGCATGTATTGTACACATTCACCTCACCAGATAAGTTGCTTGTGCCCACAGAAGCTGCTGGGTCTTTCGCCTTTTTTTTTTTTTCGGGAGCGCCGTGTCACAGGGCACGTCGTGTGGCGGCAGCTGGCAGCAGTCGTTGGCTGCACGCGCCGGAAATTCTTTGGCCCCATGGCAGCTGGCCTCCAGCCCTAAATCGTCTGTGCTGGGTACTATGACTGAGCAATTTTTGGGACAAAAATTGTGGCTTCACTTTTTTTTGGAAAGTCTTTGTGCTTCTCTTGAATGATCAAACATCCAGAATATCTGCTGGCTGTGCTGGCTGTCCTACTCTTCTCTGGAACATTTGCTCTGCAAAATCTCACCTTACTCTGTCCTTGTTGATAGTAATGTGATATCCCTTGCAACTGCTTCACCAAACATCTTCCTATCAGAATTTCTGGGCATGTCCCAAGAAGGAGGCCCCCCATGACAAAGAAGTCTCATTTTTCGCAAACAGATGGGTTTAAGGCCAAGTTTTTGACTCATTTGTGACATCATTGAGCTCATCCAATGTGGAACTTCGGAGAACAGCTCCCATGGAGCAACATGGAGCTCACGTCGCAAGAGTTTTGTTGGCAGCTTCACTCGTTGGGCCATCAGCCGTGATCTCGTGTGATTAGTTTCTCTTTTTCCTGGGGAACATCTCTGCATGGGCAAGACTCATGTCTGTTGTAGCTTCGTAAGTAGTCAAAGGCACTAAGTGCTCTCCCTGTAATACCAAAGGGAGTCTTCCACATGTAGTCAAAACATGTATCAGTTTTCTTCTGTGCATACAGCCCATTCAAAACCCAGATAATTCCAAACAAGAATCTATATCTGTGTACGGGCTATGAGTTTTGGTAAATGGTTTATTTGCCAAAATCTCTCTAGCCTTCAGTTTCACTGGGTGTGAAAGAGACTCAAATCCTTCGGGATCAAGGCTGTGAAATAGCGAAACCATGTCATTTCGGATTCCGCAGTGCCCAAGGAAGCCAACAGGTAATGACGTGATGTGGACTGGTCCTCCACGATTTCAACTCAACACGTTAGAGTGGAATCTGAATCCCCTTATGACTTGGGATATTGGGTTTGGAATTTTCCACACACAACTTGAAAGACACACCAGTGTCCTCAAGAACCAGCCATGATCTCACCACTTTTGGTAAGTTTCACATCTCCTGCCGCTTGGAAAACCGGTCGGAGCAGCTCGGCTCAACCGCCAAGCGCACCAGCAACAGGAGATGTGCTGTGCGGAAAACTCAAAGCCGAGCCTGTGGGAAACTTTGCTCTAACCTGAGTTCTGCGGAAACACATGTCATGCACCGAATGGAGGGATCATGGAACATGAACTTCAACATATGAACCATGGCAGCATCCCAACCACGCCTCCTATTTCCAACAAGAAAACATCATTCAAAGATAGCAATTGAATCCACTATGGCCTTTTTCAGTCAATTTCACATGGTTTTTCCGACGGTCTGTCATTTTTTTCCATGTTTCCATAGATTTATCACGATTTTCCACAAGTTCTCCATCGATTTTTCCCCATGGTTTTTGCCTCCGCCATTGCAGCCATGGCACCTGCCGGGCGTGACCCGGGGCCCCTCCACCAGGACCATCGGCTCCAGTCCCCAGAGCTCCTTGCCACAGCGCGCGATGTCGCAGAGGGAGTGGTAGTCGTCCTCGATCCGACGATGATTGGATATCTGTTGGATATCTGTTGGATATCTGTTGGATATCTGAGATCCAATTTTGAGAATCATTGGTGATGACTTATGATGATTTGAAGATATTTTCCATGTGAATCTGACTATATGTGATGATTGGATATTCCTTGAATTGGCTTGACTTAATGTTGGTAAAGCAATGCCACCATCCATATATTCATGGTTTGAGAGCTTCAAAACATGTGCAAACATGTTTAAGAATTGGTTGATGAATTCCTGTCAGCCTAATTGGTGCAGAATTGCCATATGATGTATATGATGTATATATATATATACATGATATAATGTATGATGTATATATGATATATAATGTAAATATACTTGTGATATGATGTATGCCATCCCTGACACATTCGGAAACCATCTGGATTTCATGGGCCAAGCTTCCAAGCTGTTGATCAAAATGCCACCCAAGAGTTTTCGACTTCCACCTGCCCAGCCGTGGGCTCGGGGATAAGCAGAGCAGCTGAAAGCGGGATGTCCATTGGACCCATATCATCTGAGCCGTGGTCACGTGGTCGATTTTTGATCTACCCTCCTGGAATCATGGCAATGGACAATTTTCCATTGGTGGTTGATATATGGAAATTCTTTCATTCGGAAACGGCCATTCTTTGCGAAACAACATTTACTTTTGCGAAATTTGTGCAAACTCCAACTTTATCTTTCGCGGGACCCATGTGGGGCAACGTTGCTTTTTATCAAGTCTCAGTCACTACCTGCCAGATTCTCATAGATTACCTAATGACAGCCTTGGGAAGATGCAGCTAAACCCTTCTCACAACAGATTGTTGCTTATTAGGTGTAATTATGTTAGCAAGGCTTATTGGTACTTCAAAATGCACTTTCACTTTCGCCCGCTCCTCTTGTAACTTTCGTGGAACTCTTGTGAAAATCTCCCTTCAAGTTGTCTATCTGTAACCTGTATAATGATGACTCATCATATCTAACTTCCGCAAAAATAACACCTTATTTCGCTAACTCGAAGAAAAACGTTCGCGAGGGTTCGAAACATCATATCAATGGTCATCGCAGTCATAACTCATTACAAAGACCTTTGGATCAACCGATGATTTTCACATTAAAACCTTTATACGAGATCTCTCAGCACATCGATTACCAAAGGGGCAAAAACAAACAAACTTTCCCAAGCGGAACAAGTTTCTTTTGTTCGGGCTTCCTGTGCCAAAGTCCGCTTGCGAACTTCTGACTGAAGTTCCGACACGACGGATGGTGGTTGAGCCACCAAGACATATCAAAAAAGGTAAGGTAGGGATGCAACTTTTTTGAATCATAAACAGCAACTCTGAAATAGACAAGTTGGAACAGTTGGAAATTACAGGGAACACACTGACTTTGAAACCATCCATCAACCCACTTCCCCATTTCTGCCCACCTGGCATCCTTTTGAAGATCAACTTTCGGTATGTTCCAGATGAGGCATCAAGCACCGAACGCACACCTCAAGACTCCGTTGTGGTTATGGGATTAACTTTTTTGTTTGCCGAGATTTCTATGGCAGATATTTATCCGGGTAAATTTGATATTATCCATAAATGATCATAAATGTTTATCTATGGAACCTGACCTCAGTCATTCTTCCACTTCTTTCCGTTTGGCCCCATGGTTCGTTTTGATAGTGGCAGATTCAATCACTATGCCACTGGCCACAGGCAATCCGTTCCAATTTGCAACAACCAACATTTTTCAATCCTATCGTAGCCTAGTATCCATTCTGAATTACTTCATTTATATATTTGGAAATACATATATGTATAATATACATATATTATATATACACACATACATTGACAACAAAAACCACCAGGTGTATCATACACAAAGCATCGTCCAGCCGCCAGCAGGATCCGAGATGCACATGGGGGGCTTCTCATCATCCCGCAGCAGTTGATAGGTGCGGCCCTGCCAAAAGGCGGCCGATTCGCCGAAGGACGCCACGTTCACCTGACCAGGTTGGTCGGTAGCGACGTGGAGAATGGGGGAGTTGATGAGTTCATGTGGCCTGTTGAAACAGTGTGGGAAGTTGATGGTTTTGGAACACTGGGTGTTTGGAGACTTTAAATAGAGTTTATCTTGGACTCGGATGCAAATGAAAGGAAGAGAAAGCTGGATACATATCGAAGTTGACAAAGACTTTGTGAGAAAGCAAAAACAATCGTCGAAGCAACTATAGCTTCACTATCGTTTCAGTCCATTGTAAATTCCCCGCTGCTTGGCGAGCTACAAATTCATGGGATCACCAGCTTTTCGATCCATGGGATCCACGGGATTCTCATGGGATTTCAGGAGGATGTCCCCATACCGGTGCGCCCAAGGTACGCCCAACAACTTCAACTTGGTCGAGAGATCGCTGCCATGGTAACGCAGCCCTGCTGATGGACTGCCCAGGGTTGCTGCTAATACCTGGAAACGTGAGAAACATGGGATATACCTGGGTACATATATTCCCCCTAGGTAAGAAATATGGGAAATGTATCCGTGTCCACTTTCTTGGTCTCTGACAGGAGATATTCTTCCAACAAGACATGCTTCTTTTGGTGGACTCGTGTGGGTGTCGACCTTGAGAAGCCACACGAAGCCGCTACAACACGCAATTCTTCACCTCCAACTTTCTCAGCAAGATCCGTGAGTTTCATCAACCATGCAGAATGGCTTTCTGAATCTTGGATGTCCAACATATTATCAAAACATCAACCGGACTTTGTTGTTTCAACAGATTTGATATTACCAATTTCCATTCATCATTTGGAAATCCAAAACACAGAACCAGATCTTTGGGTTGTCAAGCTATTTTCCCAATATTTTCCAAGGATTCCTCAATGCCCCAGCGATTTTCCATGGCAATTCCCATGGCATATTCCCGGCCTCCGCCTGTTCAGAGCCTGGCTTCCACAGGCCGTAGACCATTCCGTCGTGGCTGGCCACTTCCCCCACGGCGTAGATGTTGGGATCGCTGGTGCGGAGGCAGCCGTCCACCTTGATTCCGCCTCGACGGTGACAAAACCATGAGGGAGTTGACATATGTCGACATATCATGGATTTGTTGAACATATATCCTATGTATATCCTATGTATATTCTATGTATGTCCTATGTATATCCTATGTATATCCATTGCCTTTCTTAGGAGTTTTCAGAACATCATCGATTTTCGTTTCGCGTACGGATCTCGGATCTCGGCCTCGCTGGCCCAGTTCCAGGTCGCAGGCTCGGGCCAAGTCATCGCGCGGGCGGATGCCGCAGGAGACGATCAAAAGATCCAGATCCAGGTGGAACGGGGCGCCATCCTGGAGATTTTCGGAGTTTGATGGATTTTTGGCGAAAAGAAATGGCAACTTGGGAGACTGGGTCAGAATTGGAGGATTTAGGTCATTTAACCATTAAAGACTTGGGATTTACTTTGTTATGATATATCTTGATATATATATATTATATCAATAAACACTTGGGATTTAATGTGTAGGGTTTGTCCAACAATTTCCTGTGATTGACACCCCAAAATTTGGACATTTGAGTGGAACCACGATGATAGACGCTTGCGTTGCTACGTGTACCCCAGTACAAGTGGTGTGGACAACAACTAGGGGGGCGTAAGTTGTAGGTTCCGTCGGGATCAATCACCTCTTAGAGTCTGAACCTGAAAAGTGGGGTCACAAACTTTTCAGTGCGATTCAAATTACCCTTGAGATTCCTGGATATATCCGGTTTCATTGCGGGTCGTAGACATCCCGAAATCTCACTGGGGTGCCTTTTTTCGCACTGGATGAGGATCGGTTCCACACGGTTCCACTTTGAGCCCCATTTCCCTGGATGGCAACAAACTCTGTAGCGGCGATTTGATCTGTCATGACATTTCGAAACCTGCATAAAAAGATGTCTACCCTCTGGGAAACTCACCATTTTCAATGGGTAAATCCACTATAAATGGCCATTTTCAATAGCTATGTTAAATAACCAGATGGTAATGCTAAGGGGTCCCGGCTTCCCATTCTTTCCTTGGCCCCAAGGCGCCTGCAGAAATCTCATAGCTTGCACCTTGAAGCGCGGGACATGGCTGGTCCATTCATGGAGGGCTTGACACCATGGGGAAGCCTACAAGGTGACCATTCACGAGTATCACCTGATGGGCATGCGATTTCATCCCCCCAAAAAAACATGTTGATCAGAAATTCGTCATCGGCAGTAAAATGGATAAGAACTTAAGGACAATCCACAAATGCTGGGTGGATGGTTGTATATTGATAATCCATATGTTTTTAGATGTTTTTAGCACATATTTCTAGACAGGTATAGTGTCTGATTTTCGGCCTCCTCCAATGGGCAATTCGGGACCTGGGATACAGTAATCCAATACCATCCATAGCTGGACAGAAACTGAAACGTTGGTTTTGGGAAATCTAGGTATAGGACATTTATGACATTTATGCGAATTCCCGAATTTCAATTCTACAATCGAAGAGCCAGTCAGTGGGAAGGATTTTCAAAAGGTTTCGGGCCATTCTTCCCTGCACTTTAGATCTGAAAGCCTGAAAGCTATTTTTCAAACATCATTTAGGGTGTTTGTCTCCAAATTTGGGAAACTCGCCAGATTTTTCCATTTTTTTCCCAAAAAAATGTGGGATTTCCCGTTCTTTTTCCTCAACGGGGGAAGCCCCCCAGTGGCAGAGGCGCCCCAGTCTCGTCCGAGAAGATCTCGGAGATCTCAACCTTCACGTGCACCACGCAGCCCAGCGACTCCACCTGAGGGTAGAGAACTTGATATATCAATGTATATATATATAGTATATATATATATATTCCCCAGTATATATACATATATATATATGTATATATATATATATTAGTAAATGAATATGTAGTCATGATAAATGAATAGAGCAGGAGATATAGAATGATAGCTGCTGGAAACACTTTACACAGATTGTCAACGCCGTTCGACGCCTGGCACTTCAGCAAATCACCCGCCACCGTGTCCAGCTGCGAAGGCATCAGGTGCGGTGCGCTCTCGATGATGTGCGTCTCCTTAGGCACTTGGGCAGTTGGGTAGACATGCATAGCATTTCCCATCATTTTTTCCATCAAAAGTCCCATACCAAACCATGGGTTCCAATTCTAGCTTCAACCCCAGCTGGTTGGTGGTATACCTACCCCTCTGAAAAATGATGGAGCTCGTCAGTTAGGATTTTCTGAAATTCCCAACTGAATGGAAAGTCATAAGGTTCCATGGTTCTCCACCAACCAGCCAGTAGTTTAGTTATGTTTATAAACCATTATAATCCGCATTAACTATAGTTATATCTACCATAAACCATAGTTAATGTCAACCCCGGATTAATAAACCATGGTTTATTAATTAGGGGGGTACTCCTCCAATAGTCATAATCTGATACTTTTTTATGGTACCCTCCCAACTAAACAGCCGTTTGGGGTTTATTAATCCAGGGTTGACATTACATCTGAAACATTGGGGTATATACCCTCTGGTAACCATTATAATCCCCATGAAGTATAGTTATATCTACCATAAACCATAGTTAATTAATGCACATTTCCAACCAGCCAGACTTTGTCATCAACTTTTCCTATGGTTCCCTGCCGAGGTGCCATCCCCAACTCCATCAGCGCCTTCGCCGCCTCCAGGCCCAGCAAGCCGCCGCCGAGGACGGCGGCGCGACGGGAGGTTTGGGCACGCGCGATGATGGCATCCTTGGGGAAGCGGGAAAACCTCTGAGTTCGCCAAGGTCTGGGATGATTTGGGTTTGAACATGGGGGCATAGCCTCGAAATGGCCAGAAAAAAAGGGGAACATGTTGATTAACCGATGGATTTAGAGGTCCCATATTCAGACAAACCCATTTGAAGATACTGGAGCATACCCCAAGTCCCTCCACCCCAAACGAAAGGAATCCGTTAGACCCTCTTTAAGTGGCAATGGCTCTTTTTTCTGAGCCAACAGCATTTGGGGATTGTCTGTAGGGCAGTACCGATGAAACACTAGTAATCTTGGAGGACTTTGAGAGGGAATTTGAAGCAGTGAAGATTGGAGATTGAAGTTACAAATGGACGGATAGAAGCATCTATCACTATCAATAAACAAATCCTCATCGTAGAAAACAAGAAGAAACCAACAAAAAGGAAAATAAGGATCAATGCCATGCGAAAGAAGGTAGAAACGTTGGTAATTCTCGTGCCGCGTGCCCGTTTGGCGCAAATGGACAAGGGGCGGTGATCACAATGTAGCAAATCGGTGTTATGCGGTTGATCTTAATCAATCTACATGGATGTATAGGTCTGTGGATTAAGTTGATAGGTAATTGTGAGCGCATAGATCTTTGGATTGGGTGGTTCAAAAAGTCCGGAAGACGATTGTTGTCGGGGTTTTCCGTTTTTCCACGCCATTCCGCGCGACTTTGGTCAAATCAATCCCTGTTGGTTAATAGGTATCCCCATTATGGGTCACAATCATCCCTGATAAACCAGTTAGTATAATCATGTATAATCCCCTCCCCCTAATATTAAACACCCCCCAAATGGTCCCAATTATGTGGAATTTCCCTATTAAATCATGCTTTCTAAGGGGGTGTTTAATATTAGGGGATGGGATTAATTCTATTGTCGCCCATCAACCGGGCTATTTCCTCGAAGTTGGCACGCGTCCATATCCTCGATGGTGCGATAGAGGAAGATGCCGGGAATGGAAGTCTTCAATCCAGAAATTGGAGGCACAAACGGAGAACTGCCGGTGGCCAAGACCAACTCATCGTATTCCTGTCATGTGGTGCAAATGGCAATAGTAGTGACTAGTGGTGATTGATTTTGATTCATAGGTGATCATAGGTAGTTTTTAATGGTAAATTTAGCCGAATTTTATAATGATTAATGCTGAAAGGCATGAAGATAGGCTGTTCCAAACACGAAAATGTACGGACCTGTAAAGATTTCCAGGAAGTTTTAGGCTGCTAAAGCCTGAGAGCCATTTAGTGGTGACTGCTGGAACTTATTCGTAACCCATTGGGTTGAAACATCCCTAAACTGTATTTCCCGATGTCTAGGTCACAACATCCACCACCCTTGAAGAGACAAAGTGGCAGTCTGTCTTACAGCATGGATTAAATGCATCATTCTCCCATGGCTTTAATGTCTTTGCAAGGTGATTGAAAAACCTTTAAGGTTCCAGAAACTTTTTGTATTGATCACTTGGAGCCCCACGCATATTAGCCATGCCCAGATTCCAGCTCTCCAGATGTATTTGGCCCTTGGTATGTGACTCGCTTATGTGATCGCTTGATGGAAGTGGCTCGCGCAAAGATCAATTGGACATTCCTCGCATGGAGGCAGTGGGTGGAGTCTCTATCTCCATAACTAGTGGTTCTCTCTATCCGTAACCAGAGGAGAACCAGTGGATAGAGAACCATGGCATCGTCGCCATAGTCTGCAATCCTGTATGAATTGCTGGTGCAGCCTGAATCAGCTCATTGAGTCCTGGAGCTCCTAATTGTTGAAAAAACAACTTGCATACAGAGTTCAATCCCCATTCCAAGTTCAACTTAGTAGTTTTTCATGGCCAACTCCTCCATGTATCTGTTCTTTGGATCCTGGTTCATAAATGTCACAACTCTTTCACTGACAGCTTGGCGGCTTGGCGCAACCACTCTACGTATCCACATTTTCTCCTGCCATGGTACCACGCTAGTCGGTTCTCGTCCCGGTGGGCTTGGCTACGGGATCCCAACATGTCTAACACAGGTCCCGAAAAAAAAAACATCGCTGAAATCGCCGTTGCGTTGAACCAAAGATACCATAGTTTAACCACAGTCAAAGCTTTAGAGCAGGACATATTGATTTCTGTAAAATTTCGTCCCTTGGGGGTCCATCCTCCATTTTTGACAGCAGTTCCGAGGTCGCACCAAGCGTCTTTTCTTGGAGCCATTCCATGTTGACCATAGACAACTCGGCAGCGGAACGATGTTGGAAATAGCTGGTCATGGCCACTCGGTTGTAAGCCAAGCGAGGTTCCTCACACCTCAACTGGGGAGTTTTGGAGCCGACACAACCGGCTTGGATGAGTTGACATGGACATCACTCAAACATGCGTAACCACATGATTTAATTACTTGAAGCCACCTGTCTCTTTCTCTCTCTGACTGGAACACATCATATTAATTGCATATCACCATTCACCATTAAATCACCATTAAATCAGCATTAAATCACCCCATATTGGTGGAATATAGTGCAATTATACGGTGACCAGATATGACCAAATCCCAAATCGGATCCACAACTCAGCGACGTGGCAAGGCACAAGACAGTGATGGCCACATTCCGTTCGCGCTCCTCCAGCAAGTTTTCAATCAACGTGTTGCCCACTGGACCGTGTCCAACCTGAGTTGCTGAGGATGGTCGAGATGCCACCTTTGACCGCTCAGCGTCCAATATCTTGAGCACCCTTGAAAAAAAAGCAAACTAACTAGCCATTGTAACCGAATCCGACTTTTTTTGATGACATCCCTAATTTTGCTTGATCTATCCAATGCACATCTTATTTTTGTCGACTTTCTCCCCATGTTCATTGGATTCTAGCTGATTTATGATGATTCACCAACTTGAAAGGAGGTGATTTTTTGGGCATTCCAAAATATCAACCATAATTTCTGTTGATGTTGGCCAGTGAGGTTGTGATTTTGTCACCCAGATAGGATATCACCAGCAATATAAAACACCTTTCAAATAGATAGAAGAATTGGACACCTGGAAATTGTTAGGTAAAGACCTGGGTATCCTATATTATTTCAACAACCTAAAAAGTTCTGCCATGGCTGATTCCCATCCGACTATAATCTATGACAATCGTCACTTGTTGGAATATCTTGGGCTGTTTACAGATGATTTTTCCTCGATGTCAATGTCCATGTCTCGGCACTTCTTCTAAAGCTCACGCTTTTCCAGCGTGTTCCTCCTCGGTCATTATGCGGTCAGCCTTGCTCCTGACTCTGAAGACCGGCATCAGGAAAGCCACGACATGCAAAAACATGTGCCTTTTTTTCAATCCCTGAGTTTGACGTCGTCCTTGCATCTTGACCTTGAGTCACTGAGTTCATCTTCGTCTTATCTCTGTCTGGTCATAAGTATCTGGAACCACCTGTAAACCCAAATTACTGAGCTTATAGTTGTACTGCTTGTAAATGTACAGGAAATTGGCTTTATCAATGGATACCACATAAAAGGACTGAAGCGCACAAACACAACAAAACTGGTACTTTTCAGGATTGTACAAAGTAAATTTTACTGCACCATTTTAAAGAGTAAACTAGAATACTGCTTCAACTTATGCTATGCTTCTTTTTGGGAGTAGTAATTTGGGCAACATGTTGGTTTCGAAACTGATTGTGGCATGCTCATCTACATAACACAAAATACTGGTGACGATTATTTATGATGGAATGAATGAAGTGCCTGTCAGGCACGGCAGACAAACGATAGGCACTCCCAAAAAGATACGCACATTTCTAGCTTGTCATAGATGATGTCTCCCCCATGATTTCCAGGTTTCCAACTTTTCTCTATTTGGGAGTTGCTATATATATACATATGTATGTGTGTATATATATATGTATGTATATATATGTATATATACATAGATATCATATATCTACATGTACAAATATCATATGTATATGTCTATGTTTAAAGATCATTCAAAAACTAACAGAAACCATCCAGGATCTGCCGGGCTGCAATGACAACACGCAGTGCGGTGCCCATCTCCAGCATTCCAGGCGTCGTCGGAAGGTGCTTGGGATAGACCATGTCTTCCTGGGGATCTACCCATTACCGGCAGATTTTTTGAAGGTGGGTATAGGATGGTATAGGTGGGTGAAAATCCATAATTTAGTGGATCGCAGGGACCATAGGGAATCAGCCATGACTGGGATGTCACCACAAGTTAGCAGGCAATCTTCAGCACCTGAAGGGCACGTGACCTGGCAATTTCCTGGTCACCAAGGATAACCATCACTGAGGTTAGACAGAATCTTGGAAGCTTTACTGATTCACCTGTCCGTTTTTTTAAGTGTTGCTTAGCCACTCAAGTTTGCCAATGACAGGATGATTCTTCCAGACTTCTACGAAAGGCAGAACCATCTTTTGCTGGATCCTTCCCGAATTGCTCCAAGGGCATCATTTTTCTGGAGATATACCTATGGCAGGTATGTATACATATATATATATATATGTATATCTATATATATATATATATCTATACATAGATAGCCGCTATCCAATACAGACTAGTAATACATCCAATGGTTGTAGGGGTCCAACATAGTCCAACCCTTAGCTCAGCTTCGATCTGTCCCGGATTGGCGCGTGGGCCGTGGGTCATGACCACCGTCTCCAAGCCCCAAAGCTCTCGGCCGCAACGGGCCAAATCGCAGAGGGACTGATAATCTTCCACGCTTTCCACCAAGATTCCTCACCAAGAAAAGGAGCTCAGCCAGTCCCGGAAAAAAATATGAGATGATTTGGATCAAGTATATTCAAGTATATTGAACTCGGAAAGGACTGGATATGACAAGACATTGTACAAAGTCCGCAGAGATGATGGTTGATTAATTCTGGGGGTATCCTTCAAATAGTGATAATATGATACTACATTACTTAATTGGTACCCCCCAATCAAACAGCCGTTAGGGGTTTATGAATCCAGGGTTGACATGATTCCAAAAGTCACCCTCAAAGATGGTCAGTTTCGAGAGAAACTTTCTCAGTTGATCTACAATCTTGATTTTTGCATCTAAAAATCAACCATTCTCATTCTTTTGGGCCAATGAAAAACCGCTTGTGAAACTCCGGTGGATCTCCAGGGTGAAACGTGAAACACCGATCCGTCCTCCGAGCAGGCGCCGAGACCCCCCCGGCAGGCGCCGGAAGACCAGCTTGCGATATCGGCCGCTGTCCAAGGTGCTCTGCACGCAGATCCCGGCCTCGGCCCGGTAGAGAGGGGGGAGAAGATGTGTAATTGTAGGCTTAATGATGTAGCACCAATCATAGCTATTTTTTCAGATTGGAGGTGTATCTGATATCTAGTGTTCAAGTGTTCATCTGTGTGATGACAGCCCAACCAAGTACTCGTTGGTTTTGTGAAACACTCCTCCCATGGATGAAACATCTCACAAGTTTGAAACCCAATGGGAGTTGAAAGCTGGAGCCCAAACTCCTCCCAAATCTGGATTGAAGTGGTCGTTTTTAGTGACGGGGATGTCCCACGTTGCACAGGGTGCTGTTCCGATTGCGACTTCACCAGGTTGTCTGGCCCAAATTGCTACCGTGGCAGTTTTCATGTTTTCATCACTTTCCATGGAGCTGTGAAAAAATAACAATTCTGTCAGATTCATCAAAACATCATCTCAAAATATCCATGGTGGTTTTCCCAATTCTTTCAACCCCACCCCCAGCCATCCAGACCTGGCCATCCTGGAAGTCGTACATGCGATGTTTCCAAAATTCCGCATTGGCGCCAAAGGAGGCCACGTTGACGCCCAGCAGCTTCAGCTTGGTGGACAAATCACCTGGGCGATTTTGGCGGCACAGCGGCAGGGTTAAAACAGGCGGCCCATCGTTGGGTTTTTAGGGTTGCATCTGCGGTCTTGTGGCGGAAATAGCTCTTGAATGGTTTTTGTTGGGAAAAAAAATGCACAGGACAGCATTTTGAAGGGAGATGTTTTCCTGCCACAATATGTAGGTGAGGCAATTGCTTTGGGCACCGCGAAGACAAGGTAACAATGAAATGAAACGAGGTTTATGAGTAGGTCGTACAAATCACTGGAAATGAACAAACCCTCTTTGGAGCCTCAACATGCGTCTGGCTTGAATTTCACAACTCCAAAATGGACCACCTGCTTGATTTCTGGATATACATGCCTCTTGCAATTTGAATCCTTCAAAGTGGGCATGCCCACCACCTCTCAGCGCCGTTTTTCAGCCGCAGCTTGGGAACTCCCATGATATCGCAAGCCAGCAGAAGGGCTGCCCAGCGTAGCAGCCAACACCTCCGCCTGTTCCGCGCCCGGCTTCCAGAGGCCGTAGACCATGCCGCCCTCGTAGCTGGCCACTTCCCCCACGGCGTAGATGGTGGGATCGCTGGAGCGAAGGCAGCAGTCCACCTTAACACCACCTGGAAATAGCTGGGATTGGACCAGTTACTGAGGCTTGGAGGTTGTTTGAATGGTTGGAATACATCAAACATAGTTTTTATTTTTTTTTAAATGTCAGAACACCATGGGGTCAACAGGGATTCTGCCAAGAATATGTGACAGGTTGGTACGCATATCTGTTGGAGAATGGCACTTGTCAATGATCGCAGCCTACAAGAAACCATCAAGAATTTGGTCCAACATTTTTAAATACACACATCACACACACACACACTTGCCATGGCAAATGAAATGGACCTGGGAATATTTGCGGATTGAGTGCAGAAGGGTTGCATTTTTGGTGCTTAACTACTCCCAATTTTTGGGGGGGATCGCTTCGCTATCCCCTCAACTCTTCAAAATCCACTGCTTCATCATGTATTTTCTCGAAAAAAACCTTGCCATACCTGGGGCAAGGAACCTCATTTCCAGACACACACACACAAACAACATCCATGATTCAGTATTGAACTCCACAGTTTTGATAGTTAACACTCGTATTTTGGCTTCAATTTGGTTAAATCCCAATTTTGGCTGGTGAACGAACTCACCGTCTTTTCGTTGAAATCTCCATTAAAAATGGCCACTTCAGCCTCGCGCCTCGCTCGCCCAAGTCCAGCTGGCAGTTCCTCGCCAGCTCGTCGCGTGGGCGGATGCCGCAAGAGATGATCAACAGATCGACTTCCAGGAAGGACTCTACGCCATTCCTGGTTGGATGAAGCTTTCAGAGGACTACAATGGTGTTTTTTGAATATCATGGTTGATAGAATCATAGTTTCTCATGAAAACTGTTTCCATGGATTATCATAGCTGATAAGTTGATGACAAGTTGATGATTGTGATTTTTAGGCATTTCATGGCATTTCTATACATTTGGCGGTTTCTGAAGCTATGGGGGATCCCCAAGTCACCATGGGTTTCAATACTAAAGTAATAATAGTCATCCATGACTTGGATGATTTGGGGTACCACATTTTTGGACACCTCCAGATGCTACGTTTGGTTTTGGAGCACTCATCGAACGGAGTCATCATAGTTTCATGACAAGAATAATGTTGATGACAGTGATGATGACAGTGATGAAGATGAATATGAAGATGAAGAAGAAAATTATGATGATGATGATGATGATGATGATGATCATGATCCTGGTGGTGGTGGTGATGATGATGATGAAAATGATGGGGGATTGGATGATTGGAGTTGGACTAGGTTGATACAGTTGAGATGGTTCGAGGTCTGGTTGCTTATTGTGAACCGTCGCCTGCTCGGACGATGTGTGGGTGACTTGAACACAAGACATGATATGGTAGGAAACGGAAAACTGGGTGGCTACCCTTTGGTAAACTAACATAGCTATTGAAAATGGCAATTTATAGTTGATTTACCCAATAAAAAATGTGATTTTCCATAGTTATGTTAGTTTACCAGAGGGTAACCAACCTGATAGAATGCCTTGATGTAACAGTTTGGTCCTATTAGGCCTCAATTCTTCGTGGGGGTTCAAGCCACCTGCAGTACTGATCCCACTCTGACAACAAAGGACTCCAGCTAATGTAGTAGCGACAATATCTTGGAAAACCTCCATCTGAAACAAGCCCATATGCAAATTATGCAAAAGGGATCAAAAAAGCCAGCTTCATCCCAGCAAAACCTGAAAAACCCCATCCACCTTTTGTTTCTTACCAACTCCATCCTTTGTAGCTTTGGTGCCTCATCCATCCCCCAACCATCCACATCCACTCCAGGGGCTTTTTGAGGCGCACGAAGCGCACGCCCTGGTTGCAGAGCACTTCCTGTAGCTCGACCGCTGTGTGGATCGAGAGACCCAACTTACTGAGGCGCTTCTCCAACAGCTCCCCGGCCACCTCGCAGTGGGCAGGGCGAATGGGGCTGGAAGATGGTACCGGAACAGAAGGACCTTGTTCTGAAATGAGGATCTGGAGTTTGGAGAGTTCGGAATTTCAGAAGAATTTGAACCAAAAAAAAAGAATTTGGGATGGTGATGGAAAGGGAATGCTACCACCAGAGCAGTTTGGGGTTTCATGAACATGGGAATGCCACCAATCAGAAGAGAATTCTGATATACCCTCTGGTAATTTAACATAGCTATTGAAAATCACCATTTTTCATGGGAAAATCCACTATTTCTATGGTCATTTTCAATAGCTATTTTGACATAACCAGAGGGTATTCTGATTGGAGTCCATTGGATCCTCCATTTTCCCCACCTGGTCCAACTGAGCAGACATCAGGAAGGGTGCCACTTCCAGCACTGAGACATTCATCTGGAGGTCCAGCAAGGCCTTGACATGGAGGCTTCACCAGCGGAAAATCAGGGGGTTGTGAAGATTGCTTCAGGAACCATGGGTCATGACTGATGTCCCCATGGGTCACATCACCCAACCATGAATGGTATATGGTCTACTAGATGGCTACTTTTTTAGGTGATGTCCAATATTCCCAAAATGGGACAGTTACCAACCCCTGGGAACTAACCGTTGGTTTCCAAACATCAAATGTGTGGATCCTAAACGAGGTCGCTGTACTTTGACCAAACACCTCACAGTTACATTGTCATTTTTGCTCCTTTTATCCCTGCCTGGTTGTTAGCTAAAACACATATCAAACGCCGCTTGTTTTTTTCCTTAGAAATGATAATCCACCAATGTTGGGTTTTACGCATATACGTTATATAGTATCCTGGAGGCTAAACAAATAACTAGTTTGCCACAAAAGATGGGAACAATTGCTGATATTAAGAATTCCAAACAAATCATTATAAACCATCACACACTATATCATATACATATACATATACATACACATATACATATACATACACATATACATGTACATACACATATACATATACATATAGATATAGATATAGATATAGATATAGATATACATATACAATATACAATATACATACATACATTATACATGTATATACGTATATATATATATATATGTATATATCCATATAACACATTTATTCATTAACCATGTGAAGCCTCCCGACTTTTTGCCGGTCCGGCACCCCATCTCTGCTTTCCCTCCGGCACCTTCGCCGCCTCCAGGCCCAGCAAGCCGCCGCCGATGACCGCGGCACGACGGCTGGTTGCTGCGCGTGCGATGATGGCGTCCTCAGAGGGACCGAGAACCGGCGGTTTCTGGGTGAAAGATGAGCGACGAGAACCGGATATACTGGGGATTATAATAATCCAATAGGGGAATCCCTATAAACCAACCAGTATACACTCTGGTAAACTAACAGTTTGCTATTGAACATGACTATTTATAGTGGATTTACCAATAAAACATGGTGATTTTCTATAGCTATGTTAGTTTACCAGAGGGTAAGTGAAATATAACTCCAATAATCTGAAAAACCCATAAGCTCCGAGGCTGTTGATCCTAAAATGACTTTTTTAGTTTTTACAAGAATAGGGGAATACCCATCAATATGGGTATATGATATAACATGATATAACTATATAAACGGAAATATCCACAAAGAAATGGGAATTATTCCATCCCACTGATGTCACACACACAACCCCTTTATGGAACCCTAAATTGGAACAGCTCCAGTACGAAGCCATGCCTTTTCTTGGGTAAGTGGGGGAAAGGATGCATCCCAACAATTCTGCAGGAGTGATCCTGGCGCCATGGCTTTTTTCGCTGCCAATTCTACGGTGAAATCGCCAAAATCGCCTTTGTGAATCCCATCGGCAACTGGGGTGGCCCACCCAATCGTTGCAGAGCATCCATATCCTCAATGGTCCGATAGACGAAGATTCCTGGAGTTGACGTCTTCAATCCAGCCAGTGGCGGGACAAACGGACTGCTGCCAGTTGCCAAGACCAACCTTGCTGTGGAATCGGCAAAAAGGATGATGATCCAAGCCAGAGGACTTGAAGCAGAAAACACATACCAACCAAACCTCAGTGTATATATATATATATTACATACGTGATTATATCTTTTGGTTATATCAGTTATATCCCTATACATCTTCCTTACAGTACCATCTTGTTTTTGCCCAGTTGTCGAAGATTCCTGCAGTGCAGCAAGGAACTCATCATACTCCATCTCGCCTGAAACATTGGCACCTTCATAGACCACTCGCTTCTGAGCTCGTTTGATGCAGGTGGCCCGGGCGAAAATCAGCTGGACATTCCTGGTGCTTGACGCCAAGTGAAAGGGTGGCTACCCTTTGGTAAACTAACAGTTTGCTATTGAAAATGGCCATTTATAGTGGATTTTCCCATTAAGAATGGTGATTTTCCATAGCTATGTTAAATTACCAGAGGGTAGACCCACTTTTGTTTGATTCAAACAACTACAGCGGAATCAGGAATGAATCAGGATCGATGGAGCCGCACATTTCAGTCCTGTTGATTCAGAGAATGAATCATCCCGAAATTTTTCGAGGTACCCAATGTGACACATACCCAACTGTTGGGTCCAGGCAAATCATTTTTCCCATTGGACATGGTTCACCTTGCGATCCGCGATCCGCTGTCTTCGTTCGCCAAACTGAGAAATCGTCATGTCCCAACCATCCCGTACCACTGATAAAAAAACACCTAGCAATCAGCCAAATAAGTCCAAATGAATCACCGGACATACCAAATCCTTGCCCAAACATGCTGTACCCTTCCTAAAATCCACAAGTCGAATACATCGTTTTCCTTATGATTTGATGGCTTTAACTTGGAGGTCCCATACCCCAGGTTTGAATTATACAGTAATCATGGCAAATCTTAGAGATGCTGCGTCACAACTCCAGTTCTTGGATGGTTAGTGCATATCCCTATTCATGGTAAACGATTGAAGTACTAAACTATCCCATACCCAGTTCAAGCCAGAAGTACTCATCCAATTTCATCCCAGCTCATCGAAGCCTTATTGTTTATGCTTCCCCGTTTATGGCAGGTTAAATCACCAGCCAGATGATACCCTCTGGTAATTTAACATAGCTATTGAACATGGCCATTTATAGTGAGTTTTCCCAATAAAAATGACAATTTTCAATAGCTATGTTAAATTACCAGAGGGTAACTACCATTGGAGGAGTTCACCAGAATTCATCCGCAGTGATGACTCCAAACTGAGTTGCTTCTCTTCCAACCATTCCAGACTTGCCATAGCCAACTCCTCCGGCGAACGATGCTGGAAGTAGCTGGTCATGGCCACCCGGTTGTAGGCCAACCGTGGCTCTTCACCTGAAATGGCGCGTTCATGGCGCTGGATCAAAGAAAAAGATCAGGTGTTACATCAGGTACATCATCCATTTTCATCAAGGTTGGGCTTTCATCAAGGATATCTCTCTATCAGCTGGCTTCGAAAATCAGTGTGTTTCATGGGGTTGGGTTTCTGGCAAATATGAAGGATCTATTGGGGAGGCCACCTTTGTGTAAAATGATGCCCACCAAATAAGTGACAGAACTTGCTACAAAAAGTGAGAGAATTCATGATATGAACTAGGGGGAATAGCTGCAAAAGTGATGATGTAATCACGGTGGGACTTCATAGTGATAGTGATGGCTACTTGATTCTTGAGACTGGGAACTGGAACGGAGATGCCCTTGTTGCCATCAGCTGTAAGAGATTCCGAGCCTTAATTGGGCATAGCCCTTCCAGGATTCCAGCCAGATTTAATTCATTTCAAGTATTGACGCATAGCATTTGGCGTTAAACATCGTTAAACATCGTTAAACAAGTTTGATCCCAGATCCATGAAACCGTTTCCTGCGAGCTTCGCAGGAAATCCGAGCGACAAATCACGGTGATCTCCAAGGCCACTTCCGTGCCCTCCACCAGGTGCTCCAAGAGGATGTGCCCTACGGGTCCATAGCCTACGATCACCTGGCGAGGCACTTGAAATCTCCTCTTTTGAATCTCTGGTTATGACTAACATAGCTATTGAAAATGGCCATTTATAGTGGATTTTCCCATAAAAAAAAGTGATTTTCCATAGCTATGTTAAATTACCAGAGGGTAATCTTTTATGGGCATGTAAAAATGAAGATCAAATTCATCAAATGCTTGGATTTTGGGCTTCGCGGCTTCCCACTTTTGTTGTAAAGATATGGTCACCATTGGACGGTTCAGCTGTGGAGGTTGGGCATTCCGATCGGCCCATGTGGACTTCTAAATCTGCCATAGCACCAGGGCAATTGCTGCGGTTCAAACCAAGTCACGACACGTTTGGGCAAGGACATCAAGCTCAAGGTATTCATGGCTCTAGAGCGATCAGTAGTGCCTGGTAGTGTAAAACTTACGCTGCTTGGTGCTCCCGAAATTCAACCGATACTGACAGTAATGCAAAAGATCAGGTGGTTTTGCTGGTTTTGCTGTCTGTTTCTCTTTTTTGGGGTGCTTTATGAGTGGTGCAAACATGTACCGTGAATTTTCAAAGCGGTGCCAGTACCTTTCTTAGTCGATGAAGTGGTTCTGGCTTCGAATCCCGGCGTTGTTCGGAAGTTCTTGCTGTTTTTAGCTCCAGGAGCTGACCGACTGGGGTATGACTATCAAAGCTGACCGGCCAAAGGCTGGTTGAACATGTTGAAGATTGGTGCAGGATGGGGGCCCCCAGTGATGTGAACGTTGGTTTATAAACCATTATATATAATCCCCATGAACTAGTTCGTTATATATACCATTGTTGAAGATTGGTACCCAATTCGGCATAGCCGCGGATCATGGGAGGGACCTCTGGAGTGGATACGGAAGATGATCTGTGAACCTTCTAGTAGACCCCAGACCCTTACAGATCTCTGAGAAACAAACATGGAAGCACACGCAAACCTTAGAATAAGAAAGATGCCTGTCCTATTCGACATAGCCATTCTTGGCTTCTATTGTTGTGAGAGCTAGTTCAGACACTTCCTGCATCCGATTTCCATCTCCCATCCAGCTGAGGGCCAACATTGCTTAGCAAGGCAACTCTGACGCCTGCAAAATGTCACCCGGTTTTTTAGTTTGAATCTGGATTACCAGGGACATGTGTTATAAAATTTGAAGTGGAACCACCACTTCAAGGATATCTGAACAATGAAAGCACGCTGATTTGGGCCGCGTGTTGCTGGGTTTGTCGAACTCTCTTGCTATCTTGATCCTGGTGTCAGTGGTGCATTGCGACTTGTAATCCTGCAAGAGTCTTGGCTCCCCGTCCCCAAGGTTTGACAATATGTACATACACATATCACCATATATCACCAACCCCCCCAACATACTGGTTCCCCATCTTTGGTGGCAATTCCCAGCATCCACGCCTGGCGATACGATGGGCGTGATGTGCATTCGCATGTGCCAACATCATCTCTGCCTGGCGGCGTCGCAGACTTTCCATGAGACCAAATCATCCAAATAGGATAAGCACTGGTAGAGAAAATGGTTATCATGGGAAATAGACACATTAAACCTGGTAGATCACCTCATTTTCATAGCCTAGAAACATTCAAACATATCAAAACCATCAGCAAAAACATGCTGTTTTTCATCGTTTTCCCAGCATTCTCCACATCGAAAAAGCCCCTGGAAGCAGGTCGGAACGGCAGCTGCTTGATCCTCCTCCTTGGCGTCTCGAGCCTCCTGGCGATAACCACAAAAAACATGGAGATGTCAGCAAGAAATATCAACAAACCAGGAAAAGAATGGGAATATTAAATATTATTAGCAGTAAACACCAAGGGATTTCAGCCATTTTCACTACGGGTAAAACTAGCCAACATCATTATAAATGGGGGAAATTGCCACAGAAAGAGGCAGCCCCTAGCCATCATTTCAAAAGCTTGGTGCAACCCTGTACTGGGATTTTTATTCGGAACTATGCAACAATTCTTGAACATATCCATGCACATCCCAGTTCTGAAGGGGTTACCTGATTACCTGGTTATGTACCCAACTGTCCAACCATGGCTAGCAATTAATGATGGAGCAATCTGCAGCTTTCTTAGATTTTCTTAGGGGACCTTGGAATAAACCCATCATCCCATTTCCAGAACCACAAAAGCCAGGATGGTTAGTATCCAGCCGGACGGAGGACGATGCGAATCCAACAGTGACCCTTGTCAAACAAACTGACCAGACCCATGCATTTCTCGAGCAGCCATGAACCAAAGAGTTTCTTCAAGAAAGGAGCGGCGAGCGAGCGACCGAGCGGCAGCGAGCGAGCGGACAGAGGAGAGCGAGAGAGAGAACAGACGAGCGAGGACGACAGCGAGCGAGCGAGCGAGCGACCGAGAGCAGAGAGCAGCGAGCCGAGAGAAGAGCGACCGACCGTCGAGCGAGCGAGCGACGATGGTAGCGTAGCGAGGCGACCTAGCGAGAGAGCGAGAGCAGCGAGCGAGCAGGACCGAGCGAGCGAGCGAGCACCGAGTCGAGAGAGCGAGAGACCGAGGACGAGAGAAGAGAGCGACCGAGCGTAGCGAGCGACCGAGCGAGCGAGCGACGACCGAGCGAGCGAGCGACGACCGAGCGTAGCGACGACAGTAGCGAGCGAGAGAAGCGACCGAGCGAGCGAGGAGCGACCGAGAGAGCGGCGAGCGGACGCAGCGAGCGAGCGAGAGAACGAGCGCAGCGAGGGCGAGCGACCGAGAGAGCAGCGAACGAGCGAGCGAGCGAGCTAGCGAGCGAGCAGCGAGCGACCAGCGAGCGAGCGAGCGACCGATCGAGCGAGCGAAGCGACAGATGCTAGGCAGCGACCGAGCGAGGAGCGACCGACCGAGCGAGCGAGCGAGGACCGAGCGAGCGAGCGAGCGACGATGCGTAGCGAGGCGTATTAGGACCGAGCGATTTCTAGCTGATGATGGAGCAGAGAAGTCGAGCGAGCGAGCGAGCGAGCGAGCAGAGAGGCGAGCTCGAGCGAAGCGAGCGACCGAGCGAGCGAGGCGAAACCGATGCGAGCGAGCAGAGTCGACCCGAGCGAGCGAAGAGCGACCAGAGAGAGCGAGCGAGGACCTGAGCGAGCGAGCGACCGAGCGAGCGAGCGAGAGACCGAGGCACGCGAGCGAGCACCCGTAGCGAGCGAGCGTACCGAGCGAGCGAGCAGAGCGAGCGACGAGCGAGCGACGGAGCGACCGAGCGAGCGAGCGAGCACCGAGCCAGCGCGCGAGGAGACCGAGCGAGCTAGCGACCGAAGAGAGCGAGAGACCGAGCAGCGAGCGAGGCGGACCGATCGAGCGAGCGAGCTACCGAGTAGATCTGATGTCTACGATCCGAGTCTATCTATCGACCGGATCGAGCTTACCGACCGATCGATCGAGCTAGACCTAGCGAGCTAGCTTAGCGACAGAGTCGACTATCCCCTGAGCTAGATTCTATCTACTATTATCTATCTAGTACCTATCGATCGATCTATTAACCTATATATCTATCTATTCTACCTATGATCGAGCTATCAATCATAGAGGCGAATTAGCGATCTGCGCGCGAGCAGGAGGGTCGTAGCGATCTATCGAGCGAACCGAGGCGACGGCGACGGACCTATCTAGCGAGCGAGAACCGAGCGAGCAGAGAGAAACGTCAGCGAGCAGCGCTAGCGACGAGAGAGCAGGCGAGCGACCGAGCGAGCGATTCGAGGACCGAGCGAGCTACCGAGCGAGCGAGCGGCGACCGAGCGAGCGGAGCGAGGGCGATCCGAGCGAGCGAGCGAGAGACCGAGCGAGCGAGCGGCGAGCAGAGAGGCAGCGACGAGCTAGCGAGCGAGCAGAGCGGGCGAGCGAGCGAGCGAGCGACCGAGCGAGCGAGCGACCGAGGCGAGCGAGCGAGCACCGAGCGAGCGAGGAGCGACCGAGCCGAGCGAGCGAGCTGACCGAGCGAGCGAGCGAGCGACCGAGCTGAGCGAGCGAGCGACGAGCGAGCAGCGACCGAGCGAGCGACGACCAGCGAGCGAGGAGCGCGAGCGAGCGAGCGGAGACCGAGAGAGCGAGCGAGCGACCGAGCGAGGCGAGCGAGCGAACCGAGCGAGCGAGGGACGAGCGAGCGAGCGAGCGACAGATGGGCGCGCGAGGGCGAACGAGCGACGAGCGACCAGCGCAGCGGAGCGAGGCCAGCGAGCGAAGCAGTCGACCGAGCGAGCGAGCGAGCGACCGAGCGAGCGAGAGAGCGACCGAGCGAGCGAGGTACCGAGCGAGCGAGCGGAGCGACCGAGGAGCGAAGCAACCGAGGAGCGAGCGAGGAACGATCGAGCGAGCGAGCGACAGAGGAGCACGACCGAGAAAGCGAGCGAGCGACCGAGCGAGAGGAGCGACCGAGCGAGCGAAGCGAGCGAACCGAGCGAGCGATCGAGCGTGGTACGAGCGAGTCGTGAGCGATCTGACCAGCGATCGAGCGAGCGACTAGGACCGAGCGACCGAGCGAGCGAGCGAGGAGACCTATATATGATTCTACGAGCAGATAGCGAGAGTTACCTATCTATCTACCTATCTATCTATCTATCTACCTATCTATCTATCTATCTATCATAGATTCTATCTATCTATCTATCTATCTATCATAGATTCTATCTATCTATCTATCTATCTATCTATCATAGATTCTATCTATCTATCTATCTATATATCTATCATAGATTCTATCTATCTATCTATCTATCAATCATAGATTCTATCTATCTATCTATCTATCTATCTATATATATATATATCCACCAAAACCTCCCAACTCTTTGAATGAACTCCCAAAACCACAGGCTTTCCAGCCCTGTTTTCTCTCCAGGATCCCCCTGCGACACCGCGACGCCTGCAGCTTCCGCTGCCGTCGCGCAAGGAGGTCGTCAGCACGCAGCTGCTGAGGCGACGACGGTACTTTCAAGCTGTGGATGCTTTATAAATCCTGGTAGATCCGAATGGGATTTGTGGTGATTTATAATGCCATCTATAATGGGATAGACTGGTATATATATATGTTATATATATATGTATATGTAACATATATATATAGGGAATCCTAATGGGATAAAATGCGGATTCATGGGATTGATCATGGGATTGATCATGGGATCCTTATGCTACATTTTATGAGGATTGAAAACAAATCTGGTTCATTTTTTGGGACAGAATGGAACCATATTGGGAGTAGGGATGGTGGCTTAAATGCAATTCAGAATGGGCTTCTGCAGATGCTTTACTGGGGATGTATTCCCCTTGGGAATGTGAAGTCCAAACTGTTCCATACTGACCCATGCCTTTGGTCTTCATCGATGGTAAAATATGCACCTGTAAGAATAGACTCACTGCTAACTCATTGCTGGCCCTA